TGTCAGCGCGGCTCTCCGGAGGGCGGCCCCGGGGCAGAGGGGGCTCGGGCGGGTGGGCTGCGCTGTGCCCGCATTGCAGCACCGCGCCCCGGGCGGCACAGGCAGCCTGACCCGGCCAGCCGGGACACGGCCACCCGGGACACGGCCGCTCGGGACACGGCCACTCGGGACACGGCCACCCGGGACACGGCCACCCGGGACACGGCCACTCGGGACACGGCCACCCGGGACACGGCTGGCCGATGCCGTCCCCTCCAGGGGCTGCGCTGGCCGTGCCGATCGCTGATGCCGGCTGGCTGCTGCAGGGGCTGCGTGTGTGACACATTGTGTGACACATGCTAACGCGGAGAACAGCACCGCACTGACGGCCACAGCCGTGCTGAGTGTGCCGGGGGTGAGACCCATCTGCACTGGAGCAGCCTTCTGTAGCTTGGGCGGAGACAAACACCTGAATGAATTACAAGGCTGAACCTGTTGGTATGAAAGGGTCCAGAGACGGAGATGAATTCAGTGTCCCCTATTCTCATCCCTGTGCTGCCCGAATAAAAATGACCTCTGAATTTGCTACTGAGAACTGAACCCACCCAGCGTGAATGTGACACAGGTGATCCTTCCAAGAGCTCCTGAACCAGGAGAGAGAAGTACCATGTGAGAAGTAAGGACCTTTCTACCATATGGCAAGGGAAAAGTCCACTGCAGCTATTCTCAATGGTTATTCTCAATTCTCAATGTCACGACTGCTGCTTACAGCAGCTGCAGACCAGTGACTATCATGGTAAAGCAGCAACTGGTTGTCAGTTTCACCTTAGGGACCCTCTCTGGAAATGGTTGAAGGTGGCAAAGACACCTTCTATACAATCAGCTTGGCTCTCGTAGAGCCAAGCAATTGGAAGTGCTCTGCCCTTTAAGCATAACTACCTGCAGACCAGCAAAACAGCAAGCAATGGCAAAGACCAAGTTTTCTTCTTCCTCTGTGGAATCCGAGAAGATTGGCACCCTGTTGGCTCTTGCGTTGGTGTGTAGTTGACAGCCCAACATCGCCCTGGGAAGCACATGAGACTAGAAAGAATGCACAGAAATATATATCAGCACGGGGAGGGATCTTCCATCGGTGGTTTTATGTGCCCTTTCTGACAATATGAGACCCAGAGATGTCACGACAGAAGCCTTCAGAGGCCATAGCAGTCATAGTCACTGCTTGCTCATGCCTCCTGTTTTAGGCTGCAAGTAGCATGACCCTGAGCCTGAGTTTCACCTGGAAATGCCTTTGTGCTGAAGTTACTGAAATTACATCAGGCGTGCTTTTTGTAAGATGGAGCAGATTTTGACTCGGGTGAGATTTGTAGGTAACGGGTGCTCAACAGTAACACCTCATTGGGATGCCCCAGCTAAAACCTCAGTGCCACTGAACACGCAGTGCCTCTCTCCCCATCCTCAGATTTGACTTCAAACTCAATGAAGACAGCAAACATGCTTTTACTGAAGTCAGAAGGCTTCGCCCTGTAAATATTTACCAACGACTAAGCAACAAACCTAGTTCCCAATCTGGCTATTATAACCTAAGATGTTTCTCTGTCAGTTCAGGAGCTTGCTGGTGAAGATGATTTACAGTGTGCAGGCGTTAAAAGACAGAAGATAACTTACTGCTGTTATTTTTTTGGCCCTTTTCCTAGACTTCTCTATTTTTATCCTCTTTTTAACATTAATTCCATTTTCTGTTTCTTCCTTAACTAATATTGGCCTATTTTAACTAACTGTATCTATTCTTTGCTGAAAGTATAGAATGGCTATTTCAGGTTTTTTCACTGGTAACTCTTACCCCAGCTATATTTCACAAAACAAAATAGCTGTCTCCACATGCCTCTCTAAATAATTGTTGGTTCCTTATAATTTGCTTATGTGTCAGTTTCTATTTAAAAATAAAATACAATCATTGACTAACCATTTTAAAGCTGTTCTTGCTAACTTAAATTAATCCCAATTCCACTTGTCTTTCTGCCTTCCTGCTCCACAACTGCCCCCTAGAGAAATAGCTCTGTAAAAAAAAAATAATGCACATATCCAGTCATGCAATACTTTTAACAGTTAGTTTACTCCAGACTGGCAAGGACTGGGATTGGTAGCCATTTCTTGGCAAAACTGGAAAATGCTGGTCCAGTGAAATGGCTATATTCTAGATAACATATATTTTCTAAACAATATTTTTTCAGAATTCTTTTTCTTTTCAGATAATATATTTACTGATAAAAATTAAACTGAAAGTAGCTACCCACAATGTCTCCAAAATTTGATTTAAACCTGGTCAAAACTCTAGTCAGGGCTTCCCTCTGGCAGGAAACACCCACATTGTGAAGTCAAGTTTCATTAAAATACTGAGTGAAAGTCAAATATTTGGGTGTTTCTCATCAAGGTGCTAAGAGTTGTGTTATAAATATTTCTCAAAATGAAATGCAGCAACCACTCTGGCTAAAATAGCTGGTGCTCAGCTGAGAGACACAGGCCTGAACTCGAGTTTTCCTTATACTACATGGATATCTTGAGCAGTGTGTAACTAGATACTGGTGAAAGGCTGGACAGTCATTAAGTTTTTGATGTTATCATGCAAAGTAGAGAAAAAATATTTTAACATTTTTCACAGTACAGGTCAACTGTGGCAATGCAGATGGAGAAAAGAAGGCTCTACATAAGCCCTTGTTCTACAGTGACAGCTTCATCCTTGGAACTAAATCCATATTGGTCTGAGTCCATCTGACTGGTGTGGTTATAAGCAAATTGGAGTTTTGCCTAGTATCAGTGGGGACTCCTAACAGATCTGTTTATGTGGACACAGTTGTAGGACTGGGGCTGTTTGCTATTTATATAACAAATTGCATGTAACAGAATTAGAATAAGTCAATAGTAATTTTTATGTAAATTACATAAAGTAGCACAATTAATAAGACTGGTGTTTCTAAGTATTTCTGTCTTATTCCCCTCTACATTCCCATACAACTATTACACCTGCTTTCCTATACAAGGATCTCCACGTACCCTATGTTTTCCCCCACAATTGGCCTTCTGTTCTTCTGAGCCTCCCCATGGATACACTTCAGAGTATCCCCAGTGTACTGAAAGGAGGTTGTAGCCGGGTGGGGATTCACTCTCTTCTCCTAGGCAACTACCGACAGGACAAGCTGTGCCAGGGTAGGTCCACATTGGACATCAGGGGGAATTTCTTCATGGAAAGAGTTGGTAAATATTGGAAAGGGCTGCCCAGGGAGGTGGTGGAGTCACCATCCCTAGAGGTGTTCAAGAAATAACTGGATGTGGCACATAGTGCTATGGTTTAGTTGACAAGGTGGTAACTGGCTACAGGTTGGACTTAACAATCTTGGAAGTCGTTGCCAACCTAAAGGATTCTGTGATTCTGCAATTAAATGTGCAGAATCACATGGGAGGAGCCAGTGGGTGTTACTCCTGTGTCCAGCACGCGAGAGGAACAAGCAGGCCCTTCTTCTGTGGAAGAAATCCCTTCTTGAGTGACGGTGGCGAGGACTGAACCTGGCTCAGCTCCAGTTCATCCACGAGGACCCAGCCTGGCCAGGGACAGGGCTGGCGGTGACCCCGCTCCCGGGTCCCGACCGGAAGGTGGGCGCAGGGGGGGAAGCACCGCCCTAACCGCACTGAGGCCTTCCTCACCCCCTTCCTGGCTGCAGGGCGGTCCCCGGGCGCGGGAGCTCCGGGCTGTGCCGGGCACGGCAATGCCCGGTGCTGGCCTCCGCTCCCGTCCCGGTACCGAATCCCCGTCCGCCCGTGCCTGCGGGGCGCCCGTCGGGCCGCCAGGGGGCGCCGCCGCGCCGCGCCCGCCGCAGCCCGCTCTCGCGCCGCGCCGCGCCCCGCCCCTCCCCGCCGTCACGTGACCGCCGTGCGAGCGCCCCCGCCGCCGCCCGGCGCTTCTCTCCCTGCGGGCGTGCCGCTAGGGGGCGCCGCGGCCCAGGGGCCCTGCCCGGGCCGGCGCGCGCCGTTTGTTGACCGCGCGGCGGCGGCGGGTTGGTGGCGCGAGACTCTCCCGTGACGCGCTCGCGGGAAGGGAAGGGAAGGGGGTGGGGGTGGAGGAGGGGCCGTGCCGTGCCGGGGACACCGAGCGAGGTGTGGGGAGAGAGAGGGAGGGAGGGACGGACGGAGAGAGAGAGCGGCCGGTGCTGGGGAGGAGGAGGAGGAAGGCGGGCAGGAGGCGGCGGTTGCGTGCGTGCGTCCGTCCGTCCGTCCGTCCGTGCCGGAGGGGGAGCCGCGATGTGAAGCCACACACACACACAACACGCACACACACGGCCCGGCAGGGCAGGAGGCAGCGGCGGCGCCCCCGGGAATGTGTGTCTGGGACGCGGCAGAAGGTGAGCAGTGGCGGGGCTGGCGGAGCGGGTGCTTTCCCCCTTACGGCACGGCGGCCCCCATGGCGGGAGGGACGTGCTGGGGGTGGCTCGGGGACGGGGAGAAGAAGGAAGGCAGGGAGGAAGGGAGGGGAAGCGGGAGGCAGACGCGGGGCCCGCAGCCGCTGCCCTGCCTCAGAGCCCCTCCCTGGGCCCTCGGCCTGGGCCTTCCCCGTTCTCTTCCCGGCGCGGGAACGGGGGGAAGGGAAGGAAAAGGGAACGGCGCGCGGCGTTATGTAACCGGCGCGCGGGGGCCTCGGCTGCCCGCGCGCGGGAGGGCGGAGGGGGACACGGGGACAGACCCCGTGCGCGCCCGCGAGGCGCCGCGGGTGCGCGCCAGGTGTGCGCGCGTCCGGGTCACCCGCCCCTCCCCGCACCTGTGCGTGTGTCTGTCTGTCTGTCTGTCTCGTCTGTGCGTCTGTATGTCTGTCTGTCACATGGGGCCTGCGCTGTAGACACAACACGGGTCCCCCAGGCAGAGCCGGGGCGGGCGAGGCTGTGCCACAGCTTTCTGCCAGCGCTGAGGGGTCACTGCAGGGAAATGGGTTGGAGGGGGAGGAGAGGGGAAGCCCGAGCCCTGGCGCTGCCGTGCCCTCTGGAACGCTCCCCGCGCTACAGCAGTGTGTGTCTTCTCTGCGGTTTCCCGTGGTGTTTGTCACAAGTTGTATTTGCTGAGCAATAGTGCTGGGTATAACCGATGTGCTGAAGGGAAGAGGGAGGACCTGTGCTTGATGAGTAAGCCCGTGCTTACCAACACTGAGGGACAGATTTGTTCACTTCTTGACTCCTTCCCCGTCTGATTTTGATGCTTTTTGCTATACAGTTACCGTTGACTTGACCTGTGATACTGAGCTAAAAGCCCCTGTTGGGAAATGAGCTGTAATGGCATGTTAACGTTAAGAAGGAAGAGGAACATAGTATCAGCAGCACGTTTGGTTTTTTGGTAGAAAGTCTGTGTGTTGTATGCTGTAATATTCCATTATTTCTGATGCTTTAAAATTAACATCAGTTTTCAGAATGACCGAGCTGTGAATACTCTGCTTGTGTTAATAATTGTCATAATGAAAAGATGAGTTGATGTTTGTTATGCATCCTGATCTAAAACCCAGGTCCTACCTCAAATTTTACACAATAATCTGAGGAAGCAAAACCAGGGGACTGTAATTTTATGATCTGAATTCTTTTTTCATTTAGATGCAATTGTTGGTCAAACAGAACTGGTTTGAACAGTTACCTAATAACCATTGGTTGCAAGAAGTTACATCTAAAATTTGTTTCTGGAATAGTCCTGTCTTATTAAGCTTTATGACGTTTAACACAAATTAAATCCAAGATCAGACAGAAATCCAAATCTGACAAATTCCTTGCCATCTTGTCTCAAGCATATAGTATTTACCCATTCCCACCATATTGGTCTTTCATTCAGTCCATTTCTTCTGCTGGATAATGTACCAAATCCCTGTTAGTAAATAATCCCAAGCTGTCACACTGGAGGTCACTGGTAGGACAGTGTTACTAAGGGCACAGTGCAGGCACCTATCTTGTGACTCACTGACGTTTAACTACTTGAAGAGAGATGGTTTTAAAAGCAAAGCACTAATAGGAAAAAATCATTAGTATATTTCAAAGCCTCAGTTGTAAAGTGGTTTGGATATTTTTTCTGTGTACAGTATGTGTGTTTTCAGTACATTATTTGTAATGGGCCCTTCAAACCTAGGACCAGTCCATCTTTCTGAGTAGTACTTACACTCTGGTACAGCCTGTTCTGGTGCAGTGACAGTGTGTTGTACCAGAGTGCCAATTTTCATTAGTTGTTTCTGATCCCTTGACCTACATGACTTCTTGAAAGAATTTCTATGGCAAATTTTCAATCTTTCTACCATCCCTTTCATTTACTAAAGAGATTAAAAAAAAAGGTAAGAATTAAATCTGGTTTTGAGTAGGTAGAAAAATATTATTATGATTACACAGACTTTTTTTTTAATAACCCAGGACAAGCAAGAAAAAAATAACTTGCCTGACCTTGTCATGTGCTCTCCCCATTTAATTCGTTAGCTATTGTTTATTTCACAGAGAATGGGGTATTTTTAATTCAACATTTTTCTCTTTTAATTAGAGGGGTATATTATTATCACTAAGATCTCTGTTCAGCTCTTAGGAGGTTTGTCTGGTGTATGTGTATATAACAAGGGAACTAAATATCCAAATATTGAAACACTTCTTCAAGAATACAGTGTAGATTAATTTGGTGATAGTGCCATGTGTTTACCTAAGCATAGCAAAATGATGAAAAAATTGGAAACAAAACAGAAATTAGAGTGGTCATGGAGTTACAAAAAAAAGTTGGAAGTAAGAGAACAAATCGTAGGTGGATGCAAAAAATCATGAGGAATTCTTAGACGTGTCATATAATATAATTGTGAAAATGTCTTTGTCTAACAGATAGGTATTTGTAGTGCTCTGCCCTGAGAGCAGCTTTTTGCTCTCTTGTGGAAACCAGACAACACTTTAATTGGACGCACAAATGTTTTTAGGGAAGAGGGCCTGCCATATCTGTAATCCCCTCACTCTGTATTTCATGTGGAATATCTGGTGCTCATAAGATAGAAGTCAGAATTAGGAAAGACTTCTTTCTCAGTGTTCAGCAGAAGAGAGATGAGTGTGCAAAACAGCCCTGAATTCTGGGCTGTAATAGTAACTTCCATTCCTGTGGCTTTTATTTCAAAACCAACTTAAGGACTGCTGCTACTGTAGCTAAGGAATCCGTGACCATTAAATTCCCCTAGGGGATACTTTTAGTTTGGTATATATCCATAGCAAGGATTGTGTATTCCATATTCCTTGCTTTAAATGCCTAGGCAGATTGTGGTCCCCAAATTTCAGTGTTAGCTTTTGGGTAAAGCAACTCCTTTCCTATCTCAAAGTTTCACATTTCCCAGTTGGTATTCTGCCTGTTTGGTACTGTTGAAGCTGGTGACCTGACGCTCAGTTACTTGCAGAAGTAAAGCTTAGCTATGCTGTGTTTAACTCTTCTGTTGGTTTTGCTTTCCATTCCCGCCTTTCCTTAAATACTTTACCTAAGTCCCAGTGTAATGGTTCTTGGTTGTAACCTCCCTATTTGGTTTGCTTCAATTAATGCACATCTCTTCAGTGTCTTGATTTATGAAAGTAAATAACCCCAGAAAAGAGAAGGGTGGTTTCTCTTAGGAGGAGCCACTGCTCAGGTACCTTACAGTCATTCTTGCAAATGCAGGTGGATTGTTTTGAATGCCAGAGCAATAAAGGAGTGTGGAAGCTGTGCAGAGAAGAGTCAAGAACTGCTGTAAGGCTTTTCCATATTAACATAGAGACTGGCAGTCTTCTGGCAGGGTGAGGTATATGGTGTATTTTGGCAGAATCCTGGGGACTGTTGATGGTATATTTTGTCAGGTTCTAGTTGTCAGTGGATATCCAAAGTAAAATAAAGTTCTGTCCACCTTGTTCATAACTTCATCTCTTTGAGCTGACTCTGATCAGGTGTTTGGTCAGGGCACAATGAGTTAGCATCTTGAACAAATGGTTGTACTCCACTTAGGTAATTTTGGAAACCTAGGTAGGAGCTGTTGCTTTTTAAAGGAAGCAATGGAATTGCTATTAATTCTTAACAACAGGAAAGCCCCTGACCCCATGGCATGTAAGGTAAATGATTAGTGTAGTTTCTCAGGTAGTGTGAAACTGAATGCAACTAGTTGAAGAACTAAAATAATGATCTATATTGAAAGGATACTGTCCCTGATTTCTGAATCTGCTTGTTGTTTTCAAGAAACATTAGTGCACTTAGCTCTAATACTGCCTTTTCAGTCACAATTCCTTGATTTTCATGCTGTAGTTGAATTATTTGGTAAGCAATTCCAAGAATCCTCTTAATAAACCAATAGTAGGGGAGAGGTAAGGTTGTAATGACTTTTTATTGTCATTTCTAGCTGATTTGAAGTTTTAAGTGTTGCCCTTTCCTGTAACTTCTATATTGATTTTTAACCCAAGTTTGATGAGTATAGAGTTTGCTTGGGATAGGCCGTTCTTGCTCTGTAGCCATTTTGTATTGGTCTGTCTCCACTAAGCAGCGGTGTAACATTGCTTGGTTTATGTCAGAGGTGCTTAAAATACCAACTTAGAATCAGTACAGGCCAGGAATACAATTCAGATTTGAGTTTAAATTAAAGGATCTTGAAGAATTCGAGCATTTTTGTTCTGTCCCGAGATCCTAGAACTATATTTTTCTTGGAAAATACAGAAACATTGTGCGCTTCCTATTTTTCTCTGAATCTAGGAGGAAACTTAATATTATGTTGGGTCATATCAAAAGTTTGGTTTTTTAAATAATAAACACACCGAAATACTTTCCCTTTGTGTTCTGAGCTTCTGTAGTTTGTTACCTTAAAAAAAGTAGAATATTTTTTTATTCTGTTTATCTATTCAACAGATATGGACTTTTAGCATCCTTGGAATCCAGTGTCAGATAATCTTCAAATTAACTGGGCTATAGATGAAAAAATATTTCCATTTCTTTTGATCTCTACACTTGCTAGTTTCATATGATTGTTCCTAGTCTAGTTGGTCTGAGTTGATGAAAAAAAGTAATATCCGTAGACTAAAGAAAGATGTAGAAAACTTGAGTAGAAACTTGAAACTTCAAGGCTAAGCACAGAAGCCTTATGTTGTGAGGATTTTACTTCAAAAAAGATTTTGCAGCTTTGAGAGTTTCAAAGGCAAGGTCAGAAAAGTAGTTGGGAACTTGACTATGCAATGTCAGTTGAAATTAAGTAATGTCATTCAAAAGCTGCTACAAACAGAAAATCTACCTATTTGAATACTGAATCTGTAGTTATCAGTGCTTTTGCTGGTAAAGTTGTTGAGTTCTTGGAGCTCTGCTGCCCATACATGAGCAGAGTCCTCCTTAGTATGTGACATCATCTACCGTTTGCAAAGTGAATGCCTTCTCTCTCTTTTTTCCTGAAAAGCCTGGTAGGATCAACACATGCTCAGTGATAAGATTGGGTTGACCATAAAGCACAATTGCCTTGGGCATGTCTCCTAAAAAAAACCCAGTGTCATCATAGAATCATCACAGAATAGTCAGGGTTGCAAAGAACCTTAAAGGTCATCTAGTTCCAGCTCCCCTGTCATGGGCAGGGACACCTTCCACTCGGCCAGGTTGCTTAAAGCTCTATCCAGCCTGATCTTGAAGACTTCCAGGGATGAGGCATCCTCAGCTTCTGTAGGCAACTTGTTCCAGTGCCTGACCACCCTCACAGGAGAGAATTTCTTCCTAATACCTGATCGAAATACTTACTTTCAGTTTGAAGCCATTCCCTCTTGTTCTGTCCCTACATGCTCTTGTGAATAGTCTCTCCCTTTTTGTATTCTCCCCTCACTTACTGGAAGGCCACAATTAGGTCACCCTGAAGACTTCTCCAGGCTGAATAATCTGAATTCTCTCAACCTCTCCTCATACCAGAGGTGCTCCATCTCTCTGATCATCTTGGTGCCTCTCGTCTGGACTTGCTCCAACAGGTCCATGTCCTTCCTGCCCTGGGGACCCCAGAGCTGGGTGCAGCACTGCAGGTGGGGTCTCAGCAGAGTAGAGAGGCAGAATCTCCTCCATCCACTGCTTTGGATGCAGCCCAGGACACGTTTGGCTCTCTGAGTTGTGAGTGTGCATTGCCAGTCATGTCCAGCTTTTCATCCACCAGCACCCCCAAGTTCTTCAGGGCTGGTCTCGATCTTCTCATTGCACATTGTATTGATTCTGGGGCTTGCCCCCACCCAGGTGCAGCACCTTGTGCTTGACCTTGATAAACCACGTGTACCCTCTAATTACACTGGTTATAGCACTGGCCCACAGCAGGGATTTGTTTCTGTGCCGTTCACTACTGCCAGAGTGGTCCACCTGAGTGCTCATATTGGTCAGCAACAAAGATCAGTTGGTTGTGTGTGCACATGCATACAGTTATCTACACACACATGTATAGTTAAATACCTAAATTCTATCAAAAAGATAGAAGTGTCTTCTGAAGAATTTAACCCATCTCCTGGGCGGAAGTCTGGGGAAGCTGAAAGTAGTATATGTCAGGTTTTCACAAGCGCAGTTCTTCTGAATTTGATGTTAATAAATTCAGAGCATCCACAGATTCCTTGCTTTGATCACCTCATGAAAATTTTACAGTTATTTTTGAATAATTATACCTCCCCTTACCCACTTTTTCTGCCTTGTTAAGTTTTTCTTTAGCTTTACAAGGATGTTTCAGTTGTGCCCTGAAAGTCTTAGAAAGTCCTAAATCATTCAGCAGCATAACTCTTCTCATTATTTGGAAGTGAGCATCATGGGTTTACTTATGCTACTTACTGACTTCTTAGCCTATGCCTTAGCATAGGTTGCTTGGAGAAGACAGGAGTTGTGGGACTGGATTGTCATACTGAGTGCAAAAAACCAAAAATCTTCTAAACAAGTTCTCTTCGTTTATTAGGTAGAAAGCTAACATCCCAGTCTTCATTTTCAAAGAAAAAAGAGACCTGATGCTCACTTCTCAAATACTGTAGATAGCTAAACAGAGGGGATTGAAGGAAAACTATGCAGCTCGTAAGCTCATCTTGTTTTTTATTTTGGATACTTAAGTCCAAGACAGCATTTCCTTTTGGTGATTTACAATCCCTTTACTGTGTTGCTATTTAGAGCCCCGATTTCACAAACTATGCTTCTTATTCTGATTTTATTTAATGGTTTTTATTCTGGATTCTAGGCATTTAGAAGCTGGCATAAAGATTATGAATGTGCCAAGTCCTCTTGGGGTTGAAGCCCCAGAAGAATTTAAGCACAGAAAAGAAATAATGAAGCCAGTTGATGAAGTTTGGTGAAATTTATCATTGTATTGTTGCACTTGTGGCACAAGAGTAAGAACTCATGTGTGAAAGAAGTGATATTTGAACTAAAAAGTGAATTGCACTACGTGGTTAAATATAGCAATGAACATTTGTGAAGAAAAGCTACTCACCACTGAAGAGTTCTGAAGGGCTGGGGAGGTCATGATTTTACCAAAAAATGCAGAAATGTTGAAACTGAAGGCAAGTCTTCTGTAAGCAGGAGATAAAACCAAGTTAAACCACTACTTGTGACAAGCTCTAAATGGACTGTAGCTGCTACTGAGTGTTCTTCCGAGAGGGGAATTGACAGTTGGTTTCAGGTTAAATGTGTCTTGCTATTTTTCGAAGAATTAACCATCTCAAATGCCATGTATAAAAGCAAAAATGATACATTAAAAACAGATTGTTTAGAGCTGATGTGGATTGTACAGTGATCCTAGTTTCTGGACCTCATGCTCATGCGTCCTCAAGTTGTGACAATTAAAATAATTGTCTGTTCCAGACTCCCAAATTAGTAGTGAAAAGATATAAAGACTTTTGTCTTGTACAGCTCTGGTATAAACATTTATCTGCTGTGCCAACTGCTTTTTGTGTCATTGTGACGTTTAGCCAGCAAAAGAAATCCATATTTCTTTGTTGTTACTTGTGTGTAAAGTATTTAGTCCAAGATTGTAAACTAGAGTGATCTGAAATAAGAACCATTTTGAGTTGCAAAAACAGTCAGTTTGGAAACTGGATTAATTTAGCAAAGAGTTCTTTTTGTGGGGTAATGATTGAACTGGAAGTTCTCAGAGTCTCATTTCTTTGCTGTCAAGCTTAAATGAAAGTATGCACAGAACATATTTTTATTATAATAGTTAGCTGGTCATGAGGAGTTGATTCTTAAGGACTCGGGGTTTTTTCCATGTTTATGTGAGTTGTATGGTATTTTGCCTTCCTAGAAAATGCCATGGATGCTCCTGTTTTAGACAAACAGTATTTCTCAATTTCTCCCATTGTTTTTTCTAATATTTCAATTGCCCAAGATTTTGAAATTTGCTCTTTCCTAATTTACACTCTTATCTTTAGTCCCAGGAGGTGGTGTTGGGTATTTTTGGGGAGAGCTATTTTTTCAAGCATCGTTCAGCTAATTTAATTTCCCTTGATTTAAAATATCATCAAAGATTGAACTGCAAAACAGAACTAGCTTGTTGGCCCTGTAACAACAGGTGCTTGTAGTTAGGAGTGCTTATCCTGTGGGGACAGTTGGCATAAGATGTGGAGCTGTTTGATTGTAAGTTCTTTTTAAAGCCCTTACCCTATGGAGAAGGTAAGGTAGGCTACCCTCTGGTTTATTGCAGGGGAAAAACATAAGCAGCACTATTTGGTGAAGAGTAGCCAGCTCATTGGAACTCTGTATCTACATTTACACTGCCATTAGTTATAGTCATGACCCTAAAGCTGATTTCTAGAAATGGCTACGGTAATTTTAAGATCCCATCCATTCGTCTTTTTTTGCCTGTCTGCTTTGGCTTTATCTGACGCTTTTGTAACTCACTTCATCTTGCTAAACTTGTGGAAAGCTAAACCATAAAATTACGTCAATTTTCTGAGCTGAATTGCACATAGTACCAGTGTGAACATAGGAGTCATGTGAGCTTGGAAGTACTGTAGAGGTTGGGAAGAAGGGATAAAAGCCTGTTAGGCCAGCAGAGGCTGAAGAGCAGAAATTATCCCTTTTGGTGGCAGTCAACAAGTTGACTCAAACATCTTATGAAACTTCACCCTGAGACTTTATTTCCCACCTAGAATAAAGTTCAGTTGCTTTGCAGTTTACTAATTAGTAATTTTAATATGGAACAGTAGTGCTAAACCTGAAATGTCTGAAATCACAGGCATTTAAGCATATAATATCTTTAAAAAAGCTTTCGAGTTTTTTTTTTTTCCTTGCTGGATTTTGGACTTCTCAATATGTGATAGAAAACAGTTTTCTACCCTGTAGCAGCACTCCTTTTCCAGAAGACTCGGCCAAGAATAGGACTCTCTTGTGCTTAGAAATGTATAAACACGTAAGATAGTTCTTTGCTCTTAGCTAAGCTTGAAGACTAGTGCCAAGCACAGTGGTGAGTTTGATGTGGGAGATGGTATGTAGGGGCATGAAATTCAAACAAGCCACAAAATACCCACTTGATGGAAAAAGCTTCTAAGCCCTGCTGAACTGGGATGGATTCAATCTACAGTTCAAGGAAAAGATTCTGATACTCATTAGCAGTGGCCCGAGACACTCATATTCCCGCTGGAGTTACACACCTTCTATACAGGCTTGTGGCATGTATGTTAAATAAATCAAGTTCTTTTGTGTTAGAGGACAATGACAGCATGTCTACTCTGGTCAGAAATGCAGACTAGCTGTTACAATGTGTTATACTTCCATACAGCTTTCAGTTACCTAAAATTGGATTATCTGGATGGAACATTACTTCTGTGATGTATTTAGACACAACTTTGGCATGGTTATTTGTTGAGTCACAGTGCAGCCTCATTTTGTCTTTGGAAATAGTTCATATGCTTTCTTGTAGGGCAGAGCTATAAAATTTATATTCTGCCAGATTTAAGTTGGCTACTTGAAGAGGTAGCAAAAATACCTCTGCACTGTATATATGCTTGGCAAAGAGACTGCTGAAATGTACGACAGAAGCAGGGACTAGTACTGTACTGGAATTAAAAAGTTCATGACAATCCACTTAGAGAGTCATTGCGATCTGTATTCTGTGCTCCCAACCATTTTTCCCCCTAATACCGTGGTTTTGGTTTGGGTTGGTCCCTTAGCCATGTTGTCTCAACTTCCCAGGATAGTGGAAAGCCACTGTCTTAGAATCACACCATCTTGAATTTAAAATATTTTAAAGAAGTAACTTTCTTTAGTGTGTACTACAGATAAGACTAAAACTAATATTAGTGTCAACATTCAGATCTGCATTCCTTGCTCTCTAAGTCTTGTATGCACACAGACATGTTAATAGAATTTATGGAATGTCCACTTAACATTTCATTTCATTACCTGCTCTGTGGGCTTTGATTAACAGTCTGTAATAACAGCATTAAGCAGTTGTAGATTGGGAAGTATAATGCTAGACCCTTGAAGCAGGGTGCAAAGAGATGTTATATATCGTTATATATATTTCTGAGCCACTAGTGATATACAAAGTACCAAACTCGTTTCTCTTAGCTTCAATATCATCCAATAGAAATTTAAAGTTTAGCTAACCTTATTTTGCAGAATTACAAGATTTTGTCTTTTATATGTGATCTAGAAGGAGACAGAGGGGCAAATTATGCTAATTTTGACCACTGGAGTTTTAAACTTTGCTTTTTTGCTTGAAAAGTTATTTCTCTTGCACTGAAAAACAGGAATGCAGTCTTAAGTATACTGTTTATATCTTTACAGGCTTTTGTGCCTTTTCAGAATTTGTTGGGGTTCTATTTTTTTTTTTTTAATTGCAGAAGATTTTGTTATGTTCACAGGTTCAGAATAGGAGCATTTGAATTTTATTTGACAAGTTTTTCTCTTGACAGAGGGTCACTTTGTAGCTTGTCCTTCTCTAGAAGACTCTAGAAGCAAAAAAGCTAGTAACTATGATGGTTTGCTGAGTCTCTGTGAATTTGTGCAAACAGAGAAAACCGTTCTGAAACAAGTTAGATACTTTAAGAAAGAACTATAAGAAAGATGAACTCTTGTCCGAAGTTGGCTTGTGATGGCTGTTTGAAGTCCCCGGTCTTGATTTCTACCCACCCGTACTTCATCTACTTCCAGTTTCATGGGTTCTTGACTGTTTCTTTTACTCATTCCTTCATCATGATTCCTACAGGGGGAGCATCATACCATCCTTCCATTTCTTATTTCATGAGCCAGTGAGCATGTTTAAAATGTTGCTTAACTTTTCCTCTGGTTTAATATATCTTGTGCAAGATATTTCTCATGCTCATTTGTTCCTTAGGTTTCAGCAAGGCAGCTGTAAGAGGTTACCTTCATTTTCAAGGAAAAATTCATACTGTAAGGACAAGTCTTTAGCAGAGAGGTTTCTTTGTAGCCCAGAAACCTTAGTCCATCGTTCAGTTCCTGGAACTATAAAGGGTCTAGTCTCTCACGTTTTCATACCAGCATTAAGAAAATAATCCGTGACCCTGAAGACTTGAGCCAGAGGCATCTAGTAATCACTGAAGTACAATGTTCCTGAGCTGTGTGTTTAGAATTTAAGTGGACTGAGTAAAAAATTGCATCTGCTCAGGAAATGGTAAATCACAATCAGATGTTTTAAGTAGGCATTACAGCCTAGTTTCTCTAGTTTTGCAGGCTCTAGGAAGACAATTTCTGAGCAGTTGTTGTGTCATGTTTTTAGCACCTTGACCTAAGTAGTTTTGTTTGATTTCTAATTTTAATCAAACTAGGCATGTAACCATGATTCTGATTTTAATTGGCTTCACTTTCATAGTAGAGATCTTTCTTCCTCACCTTCCATTGTCCTAAATAAAAAATGAAATGTGTTTCAAGGTTTCAGAAAAGCTCATTCTTATGAAGGCAGTCCTTCAGTTTATCAGGCATTAGATATTTTAGTTTAAGCAGGAGGGGTCAGAGTTAAGACCTATCAAATTGTCTTCTCAGTGATTGCATTTGTGGTGATTTAAAATATGCATTTTGTACAGTCTTCGTTTTTTCCAAAGCAAGAGTTTATATTTGTATGAGGTTTTCTGTTTGATAGTCTTAGAATCATAGAACAGCCCAGATTGGAAATGACCTCAAAAGAGTATCTAGTCCAATCTTTCATGGGTAGGGAAGCCTGGTTGAGGTTATCTGGCACCCTGTCCAATTGCAATATGAAAATGTCCAGAGATGACGACTCTGCCGGGTCCCTGCATTCCAGTAATTGATTGTTCTCACTCTAAAAAATAGTTTTCTTACGTCAAGATGAAACTTCTTGGTGCAGCTTTTATCTATTGCCTCTCAGGCTCTCCATGTGGCTCCTTATGAAGAGAGAGCCTCTGGCATTTTTGTAGCCACCCTTTAAGACTTTGTCATCCTTTATTAAGAGGGAGAAAGAGTAATCATTAGTTAAAATTCTGATTTCTCTTATGAGCTCATACACTGATATCTGTAGTATCTAAAAAAACTAGATGACGTTTTCATTAATGGTTTTTCTTTTTTCGTGAACTCACACTTTTCTGTTTTTCCAAGAATCTCTTAGCCAGAAGTGATAGATGTGCATTACATTTCACTTCAGCTGATGGAAAAATACAGATTTTCCGTATGAAAGAAGTCGTCAAGCCATTTTCACTATATACTATCCTCAGCAGGAAAAAAGTCAATTTTTTATCTTATCTGGTCATCTAGCTCATCTTCTCTCTTTTTCCTCAGTGCTCTTTTAAGAGTTCTGTCATATCTATAAGATGCAATCCAAACGACTAAAACCTAATTTCAGAAGGCCTGATGTCTTGGATATAGGTCTCTGCGTAAGAAATGCAGGTACCTAGAGGGAAAATACAGCAATCTGAGAAGAAGTTGTTGCTTTGTTTTGGATGTTGGTGTAGAGCTCATCTCTTTGACATGTCATTGATCTTCATAATTGGACATGCAGCAATGTGTATGTCAGTTGTGTATGAAGTTACAAGCAACTGTTAGCATAGAATCAAGTGCATCATGATCTTTCTGTGTTTGTGGAGGTCCTGAAACATAAAACAGATGTTTACCTTTTCAAAATACCTGCTACCTGCTTTGACTATAATTCTGTGGTTGCCTAATTTGGCATATTTGCAGTAATCCATGAAGATGATAGTACTTATGAAAACTGCTGCTGCAGCTGTGTCTTATTTTACAATCAAACCTACCTGCAAACCAAGGTGGTTTAACTGGGTATGAGAGTATACCTGCTTGATCCTCTAGGACAAAAGGGAATTAAGAGACAAAAGCTAGAACTCACTTCCAGTTAGGTTCATAAGAAATGGAATGTTAATACAATAAATGAGGCAGTCTCCAGAACAGTGCAGTAGAAGGCCTGGATAGGAAAATGACCAGAATATGCTGTAATCTCCATCCACTGTATGTGCTTTCTGGTAAGCTGGAGGCTGATGTGCTCTAGTTACTGGACAATGCTGTGAATAATCCAGAAACTCAAAAGCAGGCAAGAATGGAAGAAAAACCAGTTGACTTCCTTCTGTGTATTTACTGTAGTTTTGCATGGTTTTTAGGGAAGATAAAGGAATATAAATTACATTTTTAATGAGATAGAAGACTTAAGACAGTCACCGTTTTTTAGTTTCACAGTCTTGTCCTCATGCTCTAAGAGCTGATAGACCCAAAAGACTATTGTCTTTTTATTTAGGGAACTATTTTGGTTGGAAAGTGAGAGATGTAATAGCAGGCAGTGACCTCATGATCTTACTACATCATTAATCAATATTCTAAAATCAGTGTTACAACAGCTGTAGTAAATAGGAATCACTTGGGTGCAGTGAACAGTTGGCCACAGTCCAAGCATTGCTTTTTCTATCCAGGAGTTCTGTTCTAGCCAACTAACAGCTCATCTGAGGACACGGCTGTGTGCAGCTCATGGTCCAGGGATAAGTGTCTTGCATAAAGGCAATCTGCAGTTTGGCTGGTTGGATTTGGGTTTTTTTATTATTATTTATTAAGAAATGCAAACAAAAAGCCCCAAAGAATCAAATCACAAACCTAACTGTAGATCATACTAGGTCACTTAAACAGCTGGCTTTTCTTTGACGATAAGACCACCTTTGGCTTTTTGCTTTGATGTGATACATTGCATTACAGCAACAAATGCTTGGTTGTTTTATAATAAGCTGTAAATCCATTGGTGAAGTTAATCCAGTCTCTAATCAGGAAGTGATTGCCTACATCACACCATTTCTGTGGTATCAAATAGGAAATAAAAGATTGTTCATGACTTGGACAGTATTTTGCATGGATGTTAGCATTTGTATTTAAGAACCTTTTATTACTCCTTTTTTTAATAGGAGATGTATGATGAACAGAAATAATTTAATGAATTGTAATGGACAGTAAGCATTGTTAGGACTTTTTTATTTTCAGGGTGCATGTGTGGTTTTTGACACGTAGCAGGAACCACAGTATGCATTACTACAAAACTGAGGAGTCAGGTTTTTATGTGATTTTGCATTTCTAGATTGGCTGTGAAACTCAAATACTTCAGTGAAGTTGATTGAAAAAATCTAGTTTGTGATAATTTGTAAATGGCCTGGTAGTGCCACCACTGAAATGCCAATGATGATAGTGCCGAGCATTTAATTGATCAAGCATTGTTCTTCCTCTGCAGAAGCTTCAGTATGAGGCGGGGTGGATGGCGGAAACGAGCTGCCGATGGCGATGGATGGGGAATATGGGTATGTTCAAAGCCTAGTGCCTTTTTTTGAAGAGGTAAATGGCACTGTGTTTAAAAAGGGATTACAATTTTGTTATACATGCTAAAAGGATGCTATTAAATTAAACTCTTTGCTTCACTTGAAAACACGTAATTAAGTTTGAAAGAAATTTTTTGATTTCCAGGTTTTGTAGTCTGTGTTTACATTAATCACTAAATTCGTTATTAATAAATGCAGACCTTTGAATAGCTTTAAATCACCATTTAAAAAATAAACTAAGTAATTTGAAAACTGTTTATGGTTGCCTCCACCACATTCTGTAGTTGCACAAACAATAACTGAGGCACCTAATTGACATAAATGTTTAGAATACTATTGTTCTGTGTATATTTAAGAACTGAAAATACTTGGAACCACATTGTTTTGTTAGGTAATGCGCCACCAATTTAGCACCCAAATTTGCATCATCCCATTTTTCCTTCTTTCTTTTTATTGTATAAGAATTTATGTATATATAGAATCTTTTCCTATAAGAAAAAGATTAGAGTATGAAATAAATCCTGACATGTTGGTAGCAAGATGCAGTTATCTTGTAGATAGGAGTTTATGGTGGAGCATTTGCTATTTTTCATTTGAAAAAAAGAGTGTCTTTTGTGTGTCAGCCACATGCAGTTTGGAGGAACGTTGCTTACCTTTCCAGTCTTACACTTGACCAGTTTCTGTATGTAAACATTAGGAAATAAGACTGGCATCATTGGTTGTGTTTTGTTTTAATTTAAAACCTAGGGTGGATACATGTCAGCAAAAGTTAAAAAATTGGAGGATCAGTTCCGGTCAGATTCAGCCATACAGCAACAGAGGGATGGAAATTCATCAAGTATCTTCAGTGGAGTCGCCATCTACGTCAATGGCTTGACAGGTGAACCTTTATTTTTTTTAAGGATCTCTATTGCATTGTTCTCATGTTTGACGTCCTGAGTAGAAGTAACTGTAAAACACATGAATTTGCAGCTAAGTAAATGCATGACAATTGCAGTATATGTTTTGTATATTCTGTTGTTTTTCATGATTAAGGTTTTCAATAAAAAATCAGATTTACATTCCGAATATAAATATTGCTTTACTATGTCATTTATCATTTATGTAACATAACTTGTAGAAATAGATCTTCCCGTGTTTCTGTGATCTTATTATTTGAAACGAAGCCTTTTAATTTCCTCCATCCTTCTACAGTTTTTAAATTTTTAATTTTTCAAATTAGTAATGGTTAGATTGTATGCCTTAAATTTATGTTTGGGAGAACATGTCAGAGTTTTGTTGCTCAGAGTGGCATAATGTGTGAAACAGAACCTATTGATTGTGGAAGGAAGAACAAGAGAATAGGTAAGACATTTATGTATTGTAGGGACTCTCTGTGATGGACTGAAAGTGCATGTTAGCTGAAGTAAGGTTTTAATCTACCATGCTTATGTTCATACTTCTTACTTCTGTAAAGCAGCTTAATAACCTTTTGGAAACTCCCTGGAAGCCTTTTTGAGGGATCTCTGCCAGGAATGTTATGATTATTATGTAACTGATGCATAGAGCTTCTATAAAATAGATTAGTGCTGGTTTAAGCACAGAGCTCAAATAGATTGAAAGAGGTTAAGGTGGATATGTTAAACTATTAGTACATGTGGACTGGTTGTTTAATGCAGGCAGTTTCTTTAGTGAAAATCCAGCATTTGTGTATTCTTCAAGCAGCTAGTCCCTAAAAAGAGCTCTAGAAGATGGTTGTCCAAAAGGCTGGAGTAGGAAAGGTAACACTTGGAGAAAGTATGTGCTATTTTTAGTTAAAAGTTAGAGGAATAATGAAGTGTTAGACATATTTTGAGAATTGACAGAAAGGAATTGTAACTGTATCCTTTAAGAATTTTTTCCTCATTCTTGTATTGTTCAGCTGATTTTTTTTTTCCAATAGCTTGTGCTAGATTCACTCTTCAAACATTGTGTTAGTGTTGACCCAAATCTTTTGGTGCCTATGTGACACCACTACAAACATTTTCCAAAGCTAACACTTTTTTCTTTTTTTTTTTCCCCACCTCTGCTTGCAAAATAAGTACTCTTTTAAAAACGATTGAGGAGATCAGAAAAGTTGTTGGTTTTTAAAGTATTCTTTGTTCCCTGTACCAACTCAAGAATAACCTGGTAAGGAAGGAGTGAGTTAAGTGCTTCAGTACATCAGAAATTACATAGTAGGACTTCTGTGCTGTTGCTAAACCCTTTTGATATTAATTATTTTCTATTGCTTATGGGTATAAACTATTCTGAACTCTGGTGAAAAGATAATCTAATTTTGTATTATGTTGATGTAAAACATTTTTTTACATAGTTTAACATTACATCTGCTTGAGTATTTTTACTGCCCTCTGCCACATATTGTGGGAAGCTCCTCTGTAGCAAATAGAATGTTCGCATTTTGAATTAGTGTTTCCAAAAACAGTTTTCTGCATTTCTTGCAAAATGTTCTTCTGATGAGTTCTTTGAAGAACTTTTAAGCTTTTTCCAGAGTAAAACACTGACTTGCACTCTTTCTGACCATGACGTCATATTTATCAATTAAAGTTCTTTTTCTCACTGTGTTTGCTGACACTAAACAGGAATATGTCTGGTTTTAATTTTGTAGATCCCTCAGCTGATGAATTAAGACGGCTGATGATGTTACATGGAGGCCAATACCATGTGTACTATTCCAGATCAAAAACAACTCATATTATTGCCACCAATCTTCCAAATGCCAAAATAAAAGAATTGAAAGGTGAAAAAGTAGTTCGGCCAGAGTGGATCGTGGAAAGGTAAGTTTAGGACTACTGCATTTGGAGATTTCCCCTTTTTGGCGGGGGGGGTGGTGGACCAAGAAAAATCTAGGGAAAAAAAGAATGAAAGATGGTGTTTTGAGATTGTTGTTTAGCTTAAAATAAGTAAGTCATAGAACAGCTGTTACTTTGAAGATTTGTTTCTTAGGTTCCTTAAGAAACTTCACCAAGAACATTCAGAAAGTCTCAAGCATATTAGGAAACTGAACATTACCCTGTTAATTCCATTTAATATCTAGCCAATTGACCAGACTTCATCTCAGGATATTAAATAACTACTATGTGATTGTTTTAAATCTCCTGTCTTGTATTGCATATGTTTCATGTCATCTGTACATAAAGAAGGATGTCAATTGAAAAATGTTCTCATAAAATTGGAATAAATTTATTGTGTTGTGACCTTGTAAGAAAATAATAAAGACTAAAGGAAAAATTATTTACAAAGAATTTATGTTCTTTGGTTTCTCCATGCACTGGAATATATAGAATCCACTGAAGTTGTCCTTGATAAAGACAATAGCCAATCTCAGAGCAGTTAATGTGACTTGCATCTCTCTTCTTCCATCTGAGGACCCCACAGGAAATAGAACAGGCAGGAATATGTTCTAGCAATTATCCTGCCAGTGTCATGCCATTCTTAAGTAGCCTCTTTCCTAGATGACCAGTGGAAACAGGCAATGAACTGTTCTTCAATGCATGTGTGAAATCTTACTTGCAGTGTGCTGATTTTCAGTCCTTTGTATTCAGTTGTTTCATATCATGTATCTTTATGGTCAATTTTTAAACTTTAGTTAGACATTTTAAGTTACTTGGTTTGAAAAAGACTTCAGATAGATTTTTTTTTTTTTTTCCCTGCAACGGTTTTAGGGCCTCACCCTTGTGTTTAAGGACTTGGAAAACTGATGGCAGATGTGGTTTTATTTGGAAGATGCGACTGTTTTTCATTGGTGCCATTAGAGCTTGCTACAATTTTGACCAGATTAAAGGAAAGATCAATTTGTATACGTTCAGAAGAGACTCGATAGAACCTAATACGTGAAATCTCTTAAAATTTTTATTCTGGTGTCTTGTGTTCAGGTTGTGCATCCTGGTTCTGGAAAGTTATACTGTAGAATAAGTCAGAAGAACCAAGTATAGAAAGATACATGAGTTTGAACACAAGGAAATGGGGGAATTCGCTGTCTCAACAGAACAGGGTTCATTCATATCAGAATCTAGAACAGAAGCTAATTTCACAACCACCTCTCTTTTTTTTCCCCTTTACTCTCAACTGAGTAAAGAATACTCAGTGATTAAATAATCCTTCTCTTAAATGGAATACCATATTACGTTCTCAGTAGATAAGTTGGTGAAAGTCAATGTAGGAGATGTAGAGTTTCCAATTTCATAGAATTGGAAGGGACCTTAAAGATCATCTAGTTCTAACCTCCTTGCCATGGACTAGGTCACCTTTCACTAGACCTTGGCTGCAATTGCTCAAAGCTTCATCCTTCTGGGATGGGGCATCCACAGCTTCTCTGACCAATCTGTTCCAGTGCCTCACCATCCTCACAATAAAGACTTTCTTTCTAATGCCAGATCAAAACCTATCCTTTGTAAGCTTCAAGCTATTCCCCCTTGTCCTGTCACTGCACACTCTTGTAACAAGTGCCTCTGCAGTTCTCTTGTAGGCAACATGATGGGTTTGCAATTTTTTTCAGTTTGGTTTAGAATCTACCCTAAAAGGTTCCTGTCACAAACTGCTGGTAAAACAGCAGTGTTGTTAGATCTTCGGTCTTGTCACCTAAGGTTGCAAAATGAAGAAGTCGTTTGTCTGTGGAGCTTTAATTTGTTTGTTATGTGCAAATATTATGATTTAGTCCTTAATTACATGATCACATACAATCTTTTTTCACTTTGGCACCTGCCACGTTCTCTGCACACAAAAGACTGAGTTCAAGTTGCAGACTGCTAATACAGTGACTTGGCTTTTCCTTTTTGTCTCCCTTTCCTTACTTATTGTATGTGACTTGAATTCTTTGCTGGTAATGAAATGAATAATTAATCCCTGTCTTTTATTGGTATTTATCACTATAACATCTGTCTGCTTTCCAAAGATTAATGAATGTAATGTAGCACCAGTACAATGGCTATTATTTAATTTAATTCTTTTTTGAGAGCCACCTAAAGGACATTAAGGTAAAACATAAAAAATGTTCATAATTTGGAATATGCCATGGAAACTACATAAGATTCTGCAGAATTACATGCACAAGCATAGTAAGGCATATGTAGAACTTCATTAGCTGCATTAAGAGTTTTGCATATTCTGAGCTATGATCTAAAGTCAGACTCTTATAAACCTGTTGTTAAATGGAAGTAGCTCTAGAATATTGGTTTCATTAGCATCCCATAAAGATCTTCTGTAACAGTTGTAAAATCCAGTGTTGCAGGCTAATAGTGTGGTTGCTGTAGTTGAAAAATCATTGTTTCTGCATGCCCCTTATTGTGTATTTTTGCTACCTCTCCATGTTTGCAACAAATGAAGAGGATTACAGGCAGGTCTCCTTCCTAAGTCAATATTCCTTTATTTGAAAAAATACACCACACCGTTATGTACTGTGGAAAGGTTGTTATGCAGTGAAAGCCGAATTCAGGTGATCTGAGAGCTTCTCTTTCAAATTTGAATATTCTTTTAACATTCTTTGACGTTTATAATCACTTTTCAGAGACTGAGGGTAATTAACATGAGATACCAGTATTTGTGGAGTCCTTATTTTGATTTTCAAATTAGATGAATATTTTTGCTAAAGAACTGTGATAATCTAACACAATTATGAAGAAAATAGTTTAAAATAATTTTTTTAAAATATTATTCTGGTATGACACCTAGTTTTCTGATGAGGATTTCAAATGCAAAAGAAAGAAGTAGATATCATGTGTTCTGACTACAGTAGCACTTTTGACACAGTCTCCTGTTGCATTATTGAAGACAAATTGGGGAGATATGAATTGGATAGTGGGCTGCTGGCTGAGGGATGTAAGTACTGGCCCAACTGCCTTGGTCACCACAGCAGTCAGCAATGCAGAGTCTAACTAGCAAGTAGCCACAAGGAGCATTTTTGAGGGGTTCATACTGGGGCATATGCAGTTTAATGTCTTCATTAACAACATGGACATTGGTGATACAGTGGAAAGTAGCTTCACCAAGTTTGTGGATGATTTAGAAAGGAACAGTTGATATACTGGAGAGCAGGGCTGCCCTTTGGAGAGCATCAGCAGACTGTAGGAATGGGATGACAGAAACTTAATAAAATTCAACAAAGCAAAATGCAGAGTCCTGAACACAAGACAGAATTAGTTCCATGCAACCAAACAAGCTAGGGACTCACTGGCTGGGACACACTGTTGTAATCCACCAGGACCCTCAAGTCTTAGCCTGAAAGATAACCATGAAACAGCAGTTGTGCCCTTGTGGAGATAAAGGCTAAGAGCATACTGTTTGCATTAGCAAGACCACAGTCCACATCAAGGCAAGTTATTCTTCCAATTTGTTCAACACTTCTGAAGTTAAATCTGGAATTGTGTGGCAGATTTTGGGCTTTTCAGTAAGAGAAGTACTGACAACTGCAGTGTTCAGTTCACAGGAGTATGACCAATATGAGCATGTGATTTGTAACAAGAGACTGAGGAAACTGGTTCTGTTCTGCTTGGAGAAAAGACTAGGATGGGGTCAAATTGCTGTCTTTCATTACCTGTATGGAGGTTATGAAGGGCATGCAGCCAGATTTTTCTTCAAGATGTACTGCAAGAGGATGGTGCATCTAAACTAGGATTCCTATTGCTACATCTTAATGCAGTTTGGAAAAAAAACAACTGTTTGCTGATGTAGTACAGCTACTCCAGTAGCTAAAACCTTCACATCACGAACAAATTCTTAAATAAAATGTGGGTTTGTTTAATGATCTTGAAATTGTAGCAATTACTCCAAAGTATTACCAAGGTGGTTCTGTACCTACATTCACACAGTCTTTTGAGAAACAGTCAAATCGGGCATTGTTAAAAACTCTGTTGCTGCATTACCACTTTGCGTACAAGAAAGCTTTGGAACTCTCCCAGGTGTATTTTTAACTCTGTTTGGCAATGTTTAATGTAAATTATGTTCCTTTATGAATGATGTATATTCATGTATCGAACAGTATTTAATTGATATATTTTTAGGGCTGTTTTGCTATCCCATTTCCATAGAAAGCTTACCAGGTATATGTATATGCTTAACTAGCTCTAATTTATCTAATTGGGAAATGTGATCTCCTACTATATTCTCTATAATTGCAGCCAGAAAGCTCCAAAGGGCTTTTATTCTACTGTCCAGCTCCCTTGACAGTAGTACAGATTCAAGCAAGAGAAAGCGTTCAGGTGCTGAAGAACAGAAAAACACTGAGCTAAATTATCTATAAAATCTGACTCCAGTTCCATCTTCAAAACTAAATGCTAATACTAATCTGCTTTGATGTGGGAGAGGTTCCTCTGCTGGAAGAAGTCCCAGCAACTCTGAGCCCGTGTTCCATATGAAGAATTGTATATAAAGGAGAAGTGACGTGTAGGCTTAGAAGGCTGTTATCTCTGCTACAAGCAACAGTTGTTGGGGTGGAGAGATTAAATCATTCTCTGGTGTATTTTTGAGACTATTTCTCTTCCAAGTGTGTGGCTTCCCTAAGGAATTTAGCAGTTGCTCAAGTATAATTGCAGTTTCAGTGGATGAAGAAAAAGAAGAGGTAGATAGACTGGAACACAGTAGGAATAACTGGAATGACTGCTGTAGATATTTATGTAAGGTCTTTTTGGGAATTATTCTTCTGTTTAGCTTGCCTCAGTGAATTTTTTACAAGGGGTAATTAGCCTTGTGGAATGGAAAAAGTAGTTAATTTTTAACAGCGAACCACATCCTAGCTGACCTCTTTCAAATTCTACCCTAATTTGTTCCATGTTAAAGAGCTCAGTCAGCATTGTTCAGGTAGAATAACCTGGAACACTAAGGGGTTTTTGACAGTTTTGTTTAAATTAAATATTTGGGGTTTGTGTGTGTCAGTTGGAAAGAGAAATGGATGTAGACAACTGACCAAGACATCTTTGCAAATATATTTTGTTGTGCCAGTCACCACATCACAAATTACTTTTCAGTTCAATCCAGTTAAGGGTGAGAATGGGGTTGTGGAATGCACTACAAGTACATATAAGGGAAGGTTTTTTGGCATAGAAGATTGGGATTTTTTTAAAGTTTCTTAAGCAGTAACCTGTTTTTTCTTTTTTTTTTTTTCAGCATTAAAGCTGGACGTCTCCTTTCGCACATTCCATATCAGCTTTATACCAAGCAGTCAAGTGTTCAGAAAGGTCTCAACTTTAAAAGCATATGCAAACCTGAAGATGCCATGCCAGGTCCAAGCAATATAGCTAAAGATCTCAACAGGGTGTAAGTGGTTCCGATTTTGTAATGCAGATGCTCATCATTCACCCATAATGAGTTTACATTTGTAAATAGCATTTTCAAAGCTCATTTCAGCTTTGTAAGAGGCAAACTCTGAGGTGCTGAAATTTAAAAGTAAGGTATAGCTGGATAAATAGTTGAGGAAAGAACTGGGTTACCTTGACCCCAAACCTTGTCTCTAGTCTTTGGACCACAGTTTGTTTGATAATATGCCCTAGGAGTCCTAGGATGTAATATATTGGTTTGGAAGCAACAGGCATGCATTAAAGGATTCTGATTGGTGACACTAAAAAGTAGGTCTTTACTTCGAAAATAAAAAGCTGGTGACTACTTTTGCTAAAGGTGCCTAAGAATGAATATAAATGCATTCTAGTTGTTAATCTCTTTCTTTAGCCTCTTAAAAAGAAAAGAAAGTCACAGCATATATTATGTATGCTAACACCAAGGTTTAAGTCATGCTTCAGAGAGAAGATGGATTAAAAAATGAAATTACAATAATAAAAAAGTATCCTACGAGACCTAAGACCTTGAGAGGAGATTTGAAGAGAATGCACCAGGGCAACTTTTTAACTGGCAGAGGAATTGGAATTTGGAAAGAAACATTCCACTGAGCTGTTCTGTAGATTTTTTTTTAATAAGAAGATTCCTGCATCTTTTTCAGAAATACAGATTTGTTCTTTATAAGCAAGAATAATAACATTATAGATTTTTTTTAGGTTGGAAAAGATGTCTGGATGTCATCTAGTTCAAGATTACTGCTCAAACAGGGCCAAGGATACTGTGCAAGATACTATACTTTCTGATTTGTACTGGTGATATGAGCTTTTCCACAGTCCACTGATATTTTTTTACAATCTAATCATGCATAATGCTGAGGAGACTTCACCACATAAGTGGGATTTGTCTACATTTAGGAAAATAAAACCAGTCTTACAAAATTAATATTTTAAGCAGTATTTCATATCCATATTTTAAACAATGAGTGGTGCAATCGCCATCACCTCTTACTATTGCATTGTTAAAGATTTTTGAAATGTGAAGCATATTCAGACTTCCCAAAATATCAATGTTTTCTAAAAAATATGGCTTTAAAAGCCTTCCTATTCACTAAGCATGTACCATTTTCAACCACACAACTCTTCAAAAATACTGTGTTTACTGTAATTTATGTTTTGATAATCTTAACCAAATTGTTTCCCACTTAATTGGCTTTCTGGTTTCAGTAGCATACTGAATAGCTGATTTTTTCCCACCTTTTTTTGTGTACTTAAATTGCTAGCTTTAGGAGTGATAGTTGGGTTTGTTGGGTTTTTTCCAGCAGATCAAGAGTGTGTAGAATTCTTGAAGACTTTGGTTTTCATTTCCAGAGTTAACTTTTTGAAAGAAAGCTTTGTCTTTGTATTAATGCACTTGTGGCAGAATACTTTCATTTATATGCTTAAAAGCTGAAAATTATTTTGTTACTGTTTTTTATCAAAGCTCAATATACTTTTGATTTTTAGAGCTTGAACAGATTTTTCATTAAGAAAAAATAAAATTAATCTAACATTAATCTAAAATAATTTGCAAAAAAATAGTTCTCTGTGTATACTTTTTTGTTTGTTTGTTTGTTTATAACTAGTTAAGGAAAATCACATCTCTTGATAGAAGGACAACACCTTCTGATGGTTTGCATATTTCCTGCAGCATTCATGCTCTGTGTGGCGGTAAAGTTCTGTTAACAAATAAATAATTGTTGTAATTTAGTTGGAGACTGCCTGCCAGATTCAAGGCCTTGGAATAGCTTTTCTAATGTGAGCATGGTCATTCCTGTGTAAACTCCTAGTTAATAATACATGAAATCTGTAAAATCTTTGTATTTTGTGCTGTTGAGAGGATGTGGCTCAGAATTCGGGGTATTTGTCTTGGGATGTAACTGAAGTATATATTGACAACAATTAGGAAGAAAAAGCTTGAAATTATATGTAAATGTGCCTTTATGTAAAAAAGATTTTTTTTTATTTTAGATTTTTATTTTTAAAATATGGTATTTAATTATTGTATCTGTTTCAGAAATCATATTAAAAAGTATGAAATGGAAAATGAAATCACACCCAATGGAATAAGCAGCTGGAATGATGCAGAGGAAGAAGCAAGTGACGATTTTGGATTTACAGAGCTGGAGGAGATTCTTCCCATACGGAAACAAAATGGGATTCAATCTCATAAAGACAGCACTGCCCTTTTTAATGGACACACACACACTTCTACCAGTGCCTTAAAGACGCAGGAATGCTTGGTGCCCTCCGGCAACGGTGTTGCAAGCAGGTTGTCTCCAGGCCCTGTGCAGGAGGAGGGGAAGACTGACAAAGGCATGGTTGACTTTAGAGACTGCACAATGCAGCAGTTGCAGCAAAGCAACAAAAATACAGACTTTTTGTGGAGTCCACACAGGACTATGAGTAACTCATCCTCATCTTCATTTTTGCACAGTAATGCTAAAATAAATGGTGCTCACCACTCAACTGTTCAGGGGCCTTCAAGCACAAAAAGCACTTCTGTACCTGCTCCTAGCAAGGCAGCTTCCTTACCTGTGTCCAAACCTTCAGATTGTAGTTTTATTTCTGACTTTTATTCGCGTTCAAGACTGCATCATATATCAACATGGAAGTGTGAATTGACAGAGTTTGTCAACAGCCTGCAGAGAAAAAACAGCGGTGTCTTTCCAGGAAGGGAAAAATTTAAAAAATGGAAAACAGGCAGGTCTGCACTTAAAACTGACACAGGTAGATACTTGTTTAAGAAGGTTTATGTTAAGAAGATGCCTTATATCTTCGTATATTAAATATCCAAATGAGACTACATAGTTTAGCATTGAGTATTCATATTATAGTCAGACTATCTGGAAAAACTTGGATGACTTTGGTGCAGTGAACACTAAATGGATGCAACTGCTTTTGGCTTTGTTTGGGTTTTTTTAACTTTAAGTGTTATTTAATGTGATACTATGGTCTATATTCAATTCTTGTTGTAGAAATAGTATTTCTGACTTTACCAAGATATATGAATTGATAAGGGAGAAAAATACTATGTGTATATAAATATACAAATCTGTAGTTGCTATGTGAAAATATGCAGGGGAAAAAAGTTGAAGAAAAAATCCTTACTGTTCATCATGAGCATTTAAAAGATGAGTAACATTTGGACATGAGTTAAAATCTAAATTTTTTTTTGTTAGTAAGAGTTTTGTAATAGCTCTGGATCTGTTAAAGTGGGTGGTAGTGTCATAAGAGACTTTTGAACCTGGCTTGAAGAGAAATATTTTATGTCATTGCATCAAGGACCAAAGTGAAAAAAAAAATGTAGAATTCATTAGAGTCAAAGTGTTACAGATAAAATATTTTGCATCTTTAGAATCTCTTGTTTACAGTCTTACTAAAAGGTTAGCTCTGTACTGTTAAAGAGATTCTGACTCCTGTGCTGTAAAATTATTCACTTGTAATCATATGAAAATATGCTTGAGAAATTGCCACATCAAAAAAATTGTTAGATAATAAATTCACTGATTTTGTGTTTGTGTTAGGTCACCCCAGTTATTGAACATGTTAGCTTATGAACTACTTAATGTGTATTTCTTTAAATCAAAATATGGTATAAGCTAATATATTTCTATTTTCTCTTTGATTTGGCCTAGAGTATTCAAATAGTTAATGCCTGTGATTCAGTTGATAAGTTGCAGCTCCTTAACTTGATGGCTTGATTTGTAAATATGCCCATTATAAAACAGTCCTTATTTTTCAAACAATGAGTTCAAAATGTAAATTATTAAAACAAGGGGATATTTTTCTGATTACTCAGTAATTAACTCAGATGTTAAGTCTTAGAACAGTTCACTTATGTATTGAAGTATTTTTTCACTGTTACACTTTATGCATTGTTCAAGTTAATTTTTTTGTTAGATATTGTCACCTTTGGCAGGTCAGCAATATAGACATGCAGACTTGAACTTGTAGAAAGCATTTCTAGTGTTTTAGGCATGTACGTTTTTCAGTGAGGAGTGACCTTGCTCATCTTCGCTGAATGTTTGCATGCGTCTGAGTACAGCAATGACAAAATCCAGTTGCATGGGACTTAAAAAACTAATTGTGGTGTGTTTCATGAAGAATAATGGTAGCTTATAGTGCAGCTAAACTTACATTTTTATCTTTTGAAGCATTGATGAACAAAAGGAGTAAAATTCTCTTCCTGATTCAGTGTTAACATAGCGAAATTAAGATCCAGTGCCAACAACATGCATTAATCTCCTTGGATTCGGGGAACTTCTTAGGGTAGAAGGTGTTAATTATAAGAAAATAAAAAATAGAAACTCCTTAAGTTAATTCATTGTTTAGGCTCTTTGTCTACTGCTTATGTTTACCTTTCTCGGTGTAAATACCCTCTTGGTGAGAGGAAACAAAAATATTTATGGTTTAGAGGTGGTAAAAACTTGATAATAGACCTTAATGACTACTGTGAGTAGTACCAAAGTGTATAAATTAGGGTTCAAGTTTTCTATTGGTGTATCTTCATACTAGGTAATGTGTCTGTTGCGAGCTCAGCCAAGCCACAGAGCTGTATAATGCACGTGGATATGGATTGCTTCTTTGTGTCTGTGGCTATCCGAAATAGACCAGATCTCAAAGGTCAGTATTTAAGTCCATGTGTTACAATTTGCTCAGTTAAGCCTTTAAAAAAACCAAACTTGCACAATTATAAAATTAATTTGGTGTATTAATATTTTTTTCTTGAATCTTCAGTAGTTAGACCGTGCAACTTTCATATTGCTGTTTATTTTCTCACAATACACAAGTGGAAAAGAGAACTGGAATTCTCCTTGCTATCTCCTTTCAGTATCTAAAGTAAGAGGAGAGAAGTAAAATCTGTAGTAACTATTCTCTGTGACATTGTACATAAACTAACTCAGATTTTAATCTACCATATTAGAAATTGGAAATCGAATTTCAGTTATACTAAAAATGGGGTTTGGGCACTGTCTGTTAAAAAAAGGAAAATAGAAGAAAATGGGATATCCTACTAATCTTCCTGAAGTAGTTTAAGAAGATTTGTTTGACTATAAAAGTGGAAAGGTCAAGGTTGAGAATTGTCTCTGCCTGATGCATATTTTTCAAGAGAAATTTGCTGCTTCCTTCCTCCCTAAGCTCTTACACATGAGATATTAAAAGACCTGGAAGATTCAGGAACAATTCAGTTGGCATTTAGAAGTCTGTGTTGTGTGGTCATCCTTAAGACATAGGAGAGTTAGTGGAGCACCTTAGCAAACTACAAGTGTACCATTCAGAGGTGGAGATTCTAGTTCTATGCAAGCACTGAATTTCAGGGGTGCACAAGTTTGAAGACTTGTTTTAGTGGTGACCATCTCATGCTCCCAGCTGTCACAGACCTTGGGAAAAGAGTAAGCTGTATATGTGGTTCCATTGCTCTCTTCTGTCCAAAGGCTGGAGCAGCTGTATCAAAGATTCTCCTGCTATTTTTGGTTCTTTAAAACTTGATTTCTGCCAAGTTTCAAATTCCGTTACTGGAACATAAAGAACGTAGGACTTTTCTGCAAATACTTTTTCTGTCCCACAGAAGTTTGCCAGAACTTTTTCAGTGCATAAATTAACTTCCTTTGGAAACACCATGGAGGTGTTGATATTACAGAAAAGTCAAAAGTTTACTAAAAATTTTGGTTTGCACAGTTAAACTAAATGGAACTAAGTGTTTTGGCATGTGTATATTTTTCTGATTTGCTTAAGCTAATAAACATGTTGAAGTATTTAAAATCAGTCCAGTGTTTGCTATATCTTAAACTAATGAATCACTAGGTCATTGGTGAAATTTCACAGCGTCCATTTATATTTGTTATAAAGACAAACTAGTATTGGTTGTATTTTCACTCTTGAAAAACTTTTCTTCTTTACATGTGACTGCAATTAAGACAGATTTGTTGTCACAATTCCAAGGCCCTTTCATAGCTGGTCCTTCTTTAGTGCCTTGAGAGCATCTAAGCATGAAAGAAGCTATAAAAAGTAAATTAAAAATCCATACGATTTTATCCTAATTGTGCTGTTATTAAAATGTAAACTATTATAGGTATTGACCTGTAAGTATATGCATTTTTTTCTCCACAGGAAAGCCAGTAGCTGTTACTAGTAACAGAGGTACAGGAAAGGCACTGCTGCGCCCTGGTGCAAACCCCCAGCTTGAACAGCAATATTACCAGAAAAAGCTATTGAATGGCAAAGCAGGTACAAATAAGTCTGTCTGTATGTATGTTTTTAACTGTTGTTATAGAAGACTTTTTCTTGAAAGCTATTCATAAAATGTACCATGGATAAATTTATTTCTTTCACGTGTGGGATTTTAGAAGAGAAGTGCCTTTGGACAACATGGTGCACTGTGGCCTCAGTAATACCACTGTGGCTTCTTGTTAGTTAGCTTTTCTCAGCATGGGTAAATTATTTTAGAGTAGTTTTAGGTTTTACTCACTTTCTTGATGTTGTGTGTAAGATCAAATGCTAAATAGTTATTTAAAATGAAAAATAAATACAGGTTGTCCAGGATGACTTTTTTCTCAGGAAATCAAGTATAGAGAAGAAGGTGCAAAATAAATTTTAGAAGTCTACTATAGAGGTTTTTTACTATAGAAGTTGTAACAGTACATGGCCAGTGAGAAACTGATTGTTTGAACTTGGCTTTTGAGTTGCATATGTAGAATATCTGTGACAATGAGTGAATTTGGGTGGTCCGTAGAGCATTTTAGGTCTCTGGAAAGTGTGCAATTTTCATGAATTATTTCTTCAATACTTTGTTTTCTGAAAACCAGGGCTTCTGTTGTAGTTTGAGAATTCCATGCTTGCCTGCAATGATTTAGAAATGTTTTACTTTGTGTCCTCAAGTAGTAGTGTACTAGTATAAACCAAAGTTCTATTAATAGGTTTTATTATACTGCCTGAACTTTATTTAGTATGAGAAAATATATTGCCAAACATTGGCAACTTAAGTGTCCAATAACAGTCTATTTAATCATCTAGAAGCATAGTTCTTACCACAAAGTTGGTAAAAAGTGCATATACAAGGGGTAGCTTTCGATTTAGACTTGGAAGTTGTTTCTCCTTTGCCTTTTTGTATACGCAGTTTTTACCAAACTTGTGATACTAAGTATTGTTGTTATACAGTTTACAAGTCAGTGTTTTATTTTGATGAGACAAGATGGGGCAAAAGACAGGTTGTTCTTCCATGGTTGTTTAGTGCTTTCGAAATTGGCAAGTTGTGGGGGGTTTTTGAAGACATTTAGAAACAAGGTATTATAGGAACTGTAACGTTTGTCTTTTTGCTGTAGTTTAAGAACAGTTCAAAACTGAGGTAGAATATATGTTTGTGGAACCCACTGGCCTTTAAGCTTTTAAGGACTTTTCAGTATGCTCCAGACAAAGATAGCTGTGGTCTTTATGGAGTTGGATTTTCTGTAGTAGAGCTTGTGCATGAAATATTTATTGGTAGTTCAGTATTAACAGTGTCGTGCTAACTTCTGTTAGGGCCTTGAACTGGGTAAGAGTTGACTTCATACAACTGAGTCGTTTGGAGAGTTAGATGGCTGAATTACAGTTTAGCTGATACCTAGCATGTTCTTTTGATTCACAAATTCAGTAGTATCTCTTCTGCAGTATTTATTGTTTAAGTGTACAGCAGCTTTCCACCTCATTGTATAACAAGCTCAGTTTCTTACTCTGGCAGCTTTTTCTGGATATCACACATTCATTTCTTTAACTTCAGCATCCAGTCTCAGCTGGTTTGCACACAGGCAGGCAGCTAGCTCTTTCTTTCTTGATACTTAGGCTGATTGTGCAGCCTATTGTTTTGGTGAACAGATTTTTTCCAAATACTCTTTTTACAGTCTCTGTTTCATTAGCTTCATTAGTTCGTAATATTTTGAGTCTCTGTTTATTTTATCTCCATGTACACTCGTTTTGCCAATTAAAAAAACCCAAACCTGTTGTTTCTGCTTGTGTTTTCTCAGAAGGACATGGTTTGTCTTCCTTTTGGGGTAAAGAAATTACAGTTAGTTATGGTCTTAGATGTAAAAATTGAATGGCTGGTTAGGCTTCTTAGACATCACAGTATCTTAGAAAGTGACACACCTCACAGCATGTGTTTAATTGTGCCGTGCCAGAGGGAAATACAGGTTCAGTAGGCACAAGCATTACATGCAAAAATGCTTTTTCTAAAATGTCAAACATACAGAATGGTAAATTCTGCATGGGGACATGTTATATAAATGAAATAGAAAGGTAGTTGGGAGGAGCTTAGAACATGAGCATATTTTTACATCCATGCTTCAACATATAACCCACTTCAGTTTTTGGTGCTTCATACTTTCCAGGCTGTTCTCTGACATTGCCTTCTCCAGATCTTGCTTATTTGAAAAAAGGTTCCAAATTACAAACCAACCTAAACCACGGAAACAGAGCACCTCACTCCCTCAAAAAAAAAAACCCCAACAAAAATACAACCAAAAAAACCCCCCCCAAACACAAAACCCCAAACCCTTATGAATCACTTTTGACCAAATACTGAATTCTGCTGCTTCAGCTACTTCTTTTTTTTTTTTTTTTTTTTTTAATTACTTCTTTTAGTGATACTAGTTCCTGACTTTGATCTGCATTGCTAGACAAATATCTAGTGTCAATAGAATCTTCAGTCTTTTATGAAATACTTTCTTTTTCTTGTATTAATTCATCTAAATATGCATAACTTTTAAATTTAAAAACTTGATACCATTCTCACTAAATCCCCAAATTGAAGATAAGCGTTCCAGATAGTAGAAATTACTTCTCTACATACATGCCGTCTTTAACATTCATGTTCTAAAGATAAAAGATTAACATATGTTAATCAGGATTCATAGTTTGGGGTCTCTTCCATGGCCAGGATGCCCAAGATGTGAATGTTTTCTAGACTTCCTTTCCCTCAACCCTAGAATCTCCCTTTTCATTCTAAAGAGCAGCAGATTTTAACCATCATATTAGTCACAGATTTATTCTCAGCGATTTCTTTTTCACAGACTTGGGTCCTGGCCTCTCTCCATCCGTTGCTCCACATTCACCATGTGCCTGTCTAGTTTCCCAGCTTTTGATGAGAGGTTCTCTACCTTGCCTTCCATTGAGGACAATGTGTTCTGCATTGCCCTGAATTTCACATGAAGTGACTCCATCAGCTCATGGGGGGATCTACTCTGCTGCGATGTGGAAAAAGTCGACGAATCCAGTGAAGATAGACAAGATGACAGCATCATCTCAGGCCAGGGCACAGGAAGGCATGGACTAAAGAAGTTGTTCTTGTCATTCTTATCTTTATTTGGGGCATAATTTTGCTCTAATTTTCAATTGCAGACATCTTAGGTAACTTATTGAGCTCATCATAAATTTAAAAATTTAAGAAATTAAAAAGTGCACAAATTTAGCAGAAATTCTGAATAAAAGCAGTTTTCCACATGAGTTAGGCTCTACCCCTGGTATCTCCACTCACTCATTATACCACTTTCTCTAGTTTGATAGCTACTCATATGTGCACATAGCACCAGGTTTCCTTCTATTCAGGTTGTCGGTGTGTAAGTTGTGTTAGTACTGTGGAATGTAATTAGGCATTGTGGCACTCTGCAGTAAACTCCCATTTATTATATTACAGAGGTGTATGGTATTAAATAGACTACAGTAATGAAAAAGAACTGCATAGTGGATTTCATTTTAAATAAATAGAAGAATTTTTTCTACATGAGACCTCATTGTTTTGATTATGATGGGAGTTTGGGCAGGCATAGCAGTTTTTTCATCTAGTGACTTTTTTCAAGCTGATCCATATTTAGAGTATAGCAAGTATTTTAAGATTTACATATTGTAAAACCCAGATAGAACCAGAATCTTTTGCTTGTTTCCATTATTCAGTGTCATGGAATTCTGTCTAGTACCTAGTACCCAGTAGGCCTGGAGGATCCTTTAAAATTTATGTTAGAATATGTAGTAAAGTTTTACAGAATTAGGAAGGTCTGTCTCGTTTTAAGTCTGAGGTTACAGTATTTATAATTGTATCATTTTGATCCAAGATAAGTTTGTGGTGATATTTGAAAGAAATTGGCATATCCGAATAAGGGAGTTATTAGTAAGTAAAAGCAGGAGCTTTCTCAGTTCACATCCCCATAAAAGTGTTAAAGAAAATAGAAGTTTCTAGTTAGTGTTTTTTATTTAAACTAATTGGCATTCTAGTTTACACTTCTTAAAAATCACTTTGTGGTATCTAGACTATTAGAAAAATAGTTCTAAGTATGATATGAAGTGGATTTATGTTCTGTATGAAATCTCAGTGTTCTGATGTCGGGGGTGTATTTTGTAAAAAGGAACATAGCTAAGTGTCATCTTGTTTAGTCGAGCAGTTGTTAAATAATTTCTGGTGTCTTGTATTTGTTGGCAGGATGTGGTTATAACAGTAGCCATGTGTGTTTGATCATTTTTATGGGAAGTAAATCTAAGATCATTCTTATTTTACAGTATGGTATATGTAGTCACCAATGAGCTGCTGTCCAGTAATTTTGGGGGAAACAGAAACACCATTTTTCTGTTAATATTGTTCTTGGTAGTACATACAGACCTATCCAGAAAGCATTACTGGGAAAGGGGTCTGTTTTTTTTCTGGACTATGATATGAATCAATATAGTATTAACAACCTCTTTGTCAAAAGATAACAGTATAGAAACTGTATGAAATTAAATCTGTAATTTTTATTTTATTTGCATTCATTCTGTTGAACTCTTAGAAAGAATAACATAGACAAATTTTATTTTTTAAGCAGAAATTAAAGTACCTGATCAGTTGGACTCCTCAGTCTGGGAACATCCGGATTCCACACATGTGAATGGAGCTGATCTCACTGTTCTGTCCATGGCTGAAATAGCTTCTTGTAGTTATGAAGCCAGGTAGGTTAAAATTAGCCAATATTTTGCTTGAAAATCCCATACAGATAGGTGTAAGATGTCCAGAAATAGTGATTATTAGTGTCTTTAAATTTATCTAGAGAAGAAGTTTCTATTCAAAACTTGTAGTTATATAGGTTGTTAGAATTTAACAGAAGCTCTTCCCTGTGGATGCTGCTGCTTGGTAGATGCTGCTCAGTAGCTCTCAACCCAACCTACATAGAACTTGAAATAAAGCCTGTGAAGAAAAACCTTGTGCCTTTCACTGTGATACTGCTGATTTCATGTTAGTGTCATGTCTTTCTATCAAAGTTGCAGTATTTTATAGAATTAATGACGCATTCTGAATGTTTAATTTCAAACAGAAAGTGTGATTATTAAACTTTAAAACCATTTTTTGCAGAGACTTTGCTGACCATCTCCAGTGACCTAACTTACAATGGTTTAGAATATGAAACAACTTTAATAAATATAAGCACAGTGTTCGAAATACAAGGGCTTTCCCCTGATGGAAATAATACTCTGGAAAATATTTCTTCATTGGTAGCTTTCTTAGGCTTGCTAGGATAGGCAGGCTTCTATTTGTGTCTCAGAAAGATTTTATTTATTAACAGGAGCCTAATTATGTAAACTTGCATCTTGGAATATAATATTGCTACCTTGGTCACTGTAGTATATGTGTGGTTTTAATTTGAAACAGAAGATACCAAATGTGCTTTCTGGAATCTTTGTCCATAGCATTTTCCTAAAGGCAAATTTCTCATGCTCCATAACTTAATAATACACAGCTAATTGAAATACTCTGTTTGCAGTTATTTTTTTTAACCTGTTAAATTTCTACTTGTTGACTAAATTCCTATTCCCATTTTTGTGGGAAAAAGACAAATAATTAAGTTGAAAGTACTCCTTATTTGTGGATAAGTTTGCACTGTGTTTACTTGGAGTTTATTTTATTATTTAATTTTAGACAAGTTGGCATAAAGAATGGAATGTTTTTCGGCCAAGCAAAAAAGTTGTGTCCAAATCTTCAAGCAGTTTCATATGATTTTGATGCATACAAAGAAGTTGCACGGACAGTATATGAAATACTAGCAAGGTAATGCACTATTTGTTTGCATGATCTTTGTGGTACACTTATCAAACATATTTTCTTTGCCGCTACTGAATGCTATTATTCGTTTTGTATTTTCATCTCCCACTCTTCACCTTCAGTGAAGCTATTCCTGTTTGAGGTCTTGCTTTGTAGTATTTTTGTTACTTTGAGCACCATGCTGCTGAGCATTCTTTTATCCTGAAGCCAAATCCTGTAAGCAGTCGACATCTGACTTCCAAATGAGTCACTGTTAAATTTTTTATTGATTTGCATACTGCGAAGCAGATCCCTGCTTAGAAGGGAGATCCTTCCAAGAGATGATTTTTGAGTAGTTTAAGAATGGATTATTAGAGTAATATCTACTACAAACTACTTTCTGATTTCAAATGCACTTGAAATAAAACTGGAAATTTGTTACTGTCAATGAAAAATAAATATTTAACTCCTTCTCCAGCTGTTCTTTAAAATCAAGATGTGTGTTGACATTAGTCTAACATTAGTAATATTACTATAATTTGCTGTTTTAGCATTTTTTAATACCTAAGTGATGTATGATACAAAATAGGCAGGGAAGTGCCACCACAAAAGGAAGACTTTATTTGCTACATATTTGTTTTAACAGATGGTAAGCTGTTGCTGGTGTTTCACCTCCTTTACTTTGTGTTGATAGCTATACTCATAACATTGAAGCAGTGAGTTGTGATGAAGCACTAGTAGATATCACTGAAATCCTCACAGAGACCAGACTGACTCCTGATGAATTTGCAAATGCTATCCGCACTGAAATCAAAGACCAAACTAAATGCACAGCCTCTGTTGGGATGGGTAAGTAACTTCATTTCTGTTTACAAGCAGTGACTGCTTTTGCTAATGTATCAAAGCTAGGTAAGTTTGCTAAAACTCCTAAGTGTTTGTAATATGTTGCCATTTAGGCTAAATAAGTGTGAATAAAAATACAAGAAAATTTTCATAACTGGAAAGTTTTAATCAAAAATGTATAAAATTTCCATATCACAGATCACAGGATATTCTGAGTTGGGAGGGACACACAAGGATTATCAGGTGCAAGTCATAAGTCAGTGGCTAATCCAGCTATCACTTCTCCTTTATCTGAACACTAGGCTAAAATTCCACTCTTGCATTCTTTTTTATGAAATGACACTGTATTTTTCCAGTAAATAGAAAAAGGAGCACAGATTGTGTTGCTTAATGGAGATAGCAGTAGGCGTTTACAGGGTGACAATGATTTTGCATAGTTCTTAGAAGTTATTGAGAGCAAAGATTTGTGTGGTTTGCAGCAGGTATTGCATATGAAATCACACATCTGAAAAAACTTCCTTGATTTGTTTCTTCTTGTCTCATTCCTTTCTCCTTTCTTTTTGTTCCTAATTAATACTAGAGTTGAGTATCTCTACATACCTGTACTGAGTGTATATACGTGTGTGAAATCCACTTGTAAGGCAACATGAAATTCACAACTCTAAGCAGAATTTATCCCTTACTAACTTTGCAATTGCAGTTAGCACTATAGTTTCACTGCTGTTACTGCAAATAGTGCTGGCTCATAATTTGAAAGTAGATACTGTAACATATACGAATATATTTCATTAAATTCTTGGTAAAAGTTAAAGAATTTGACTGTACTTCCTGCATTTTTTTTCTTGAGTGTTAAACTGTGGCATTCTACTTGAGGGTTGACAGCAGTGACCACAGACATCCTTTAATTTGTTGTTTTTACAGGTTCCAATATTCTGCTGGCCAGAATGGCAACTCGTAAAGCAAAACCAGATGGACAGTATCACTTAAAACCTGAAGAAGTGGATGATTTTATCAGAGGACAGCTTGTTACCAGTCTTCCAGGTACTCCTGTCTTTTGGAGGGCATTTTGCATCCTGATACTAAACCAGTTTCAGCTATAAATTTACTTTCTAGATCAAGCAGGATTAGCTGCTATTCCATGTTTATGATCCAAAGTGTGATAGACAGTAATGACATATGGCATCCACCTGTATGAAAACTGACTTTATTGTATTTTTTTATTGTTCCAGGAGAATACTTGAAAACTTTGTAACATAAAGCATTTCATGGCATGTAACTATATTGTTACTCAGTACACACACATGCTATAATGTGACACAGGCACGGTGCAAGAAGTGCTGAGTAAGCACTCATTTATGCTTTTAGTGATCAGCTAAATGTATACACATATATTTAGTGTTAAATATAAAAAATAGTATCTTTATCTGTTGAAGATTAAAAAAGGAAGGAAGGGCAGTAAAAAACAGTTAGCCACAGACAGGTTTGCCAGAAATTCTCTTCATGTAACCCTTAGGGGCCAAACACTATTTATAGCACAATTGTGCTGTAATTTCTCTTTGTCATAACTTACAGGAGATATTTTTTCTCCAGAATATTCCTCATATAGTTCTGTGCTTTGACTTTAACATTTTAAAGTTTTCAGAATTCACTTGCATGTTCAGAGTAAAAACATTTTAGTGTTTGTGTTAATAATACCACCTCAACAGAGAAACAGATTATCAAGAATAGAATCTGATTACGTACGATTTCTAATTTTTGCTGACTTTGGTAGTGTGAGCTCATGGGATAAATATTTTCTGGAAGTAACAGGCCACCTCTCCAAAACCCAGAGATATACTTCAGTTTATGACACTTACATATGTGTCGTTGCCATGGAAACCTACAATTTCCAGTGCTTGGTAATTCAAAGCACAAGTGATACAGGTATGCTGTCACTTCTACCTGAAATGCTATTTTTCTACCTAGGAAGCAGTGCAACAATGGTCAAAATATTTGTTGGTTTCCATTTCGATTAGCTCGTGTACATGAGGGAAAGACATATTACATGTTGGACACTTCGTTTTTGGACTGAATTGTTGGGGGGATTCAGAGTGATATAATCTGTAGCAGGCAGTACCCCAAGACAATTTCCAAGCAGGATTCATGCATATTTTATCCAAAAATAAGCAAACATACTGTAGTGTGACATATTAAGCTAAATATGTGAAAGATTAATGATACACCAGAAATGACAGCAAAAGTTTCCATCCAAACCATGTTTTATGCAGCAGAATTTATTTTATATACGTTTATTTGTTAATTTGGTATGACTTAATATAAGTTTAAAAATAAAAATTTTATGTCATCAGAACCTAACTGGCTTTGAATTGTATAATGTTAACAGAACTAATTGCTTTGTTGTTAGGAGTTGGCAGGACAATGGAATCTAAACTGGCTTCTTTGGGAATTAAAACCTGTGGAGATCTGCAGTGTGCTTCAATGTCAAAACTACAAAAAGAATTTGGTCCAAAAACCGGACAAATGCTCTACAGATTTTGTCGTGGTTTGGATGACCGACCTGTTCGTACAGAAAAAGAAAGAAAATCTGTTTCAGCAGAAATCAACTATGGAATAAGGTTTACACAGGTAGATTAAACTTGCTTCTTTTTTGCAGTGACTTCTTTCAGCTGTAGAAGAACCTTCTCATATTCTGATTATTTTCACTTACACTTTGATCTGTTAGAGCACCATCTTAGCCACGAAATAGAAATGAGGAAAATGAAGAAGTAGGAGACCAAACGATAAAATGGGAGGAGAGACTGCAAAAGTATTGGACTGAAAAGAAGCTTGCACAAAATTAGCTGGCTATTCTGCATTCGTTATACAAGTCTGGTACAGAAAAAGAGAACTGCAGTAGGTTTGTCAGCACCTAGCATTCTCTTTCATTTAAATGCTGATTATTCGAAGATGCCAGTGCCTGAAACTATTACCAGCTGCTCCCATACAACATTTTATTAGACTTTTTACAAATACCTTTTGTTTGCGGGGGGAGTGTTATTAACAAAATTGTATTTAAAAAGTAACTCAGCACTTTTTTGTGTTCTTGAGTATTTATAGAAATGATAGGGAAAAAAGGGAGTTTGAAGAGACCTGATAGTGTTGTGTAGTCCAGACCTTTGCTCAAAGCAGGGGAGGCTAATAAGGCTAATAAAGTTATTAGCTTTAGCTAATAACACTCAGACCGGATAAAGCTCAGCACTTTATCCAGTCTGGCATTGGGAATCTCCAAGAACGAAGACTGCAAACTTCCCTGAGCAACATGTCCACTGCCTTTTCCTCATGGTGAAAAAGATTTAAAGTCCTATGCTCTTCATCTTCTAGGCTTGTGCTTAGACTTATAATTCTGTGTTGGGGTTTCTAAGTACATTTTTAAAGACTTCTTTCAGCATTAGGGCAGGAATCTACCATCTCACCTAAATTAAGTGACCTACAGTGAAAACAAACCACTTGAAGTTAAATGAGACAAATTGCTTGTGAGTCAGCTTGTTCTTTTCAGTTACACAGTACGGATTGTATTAACCCTTAATGATTTGCCTTCAGTATTTGGAAACTAGTAATTATCTAAAAGTTTGTTTTTCCCCTTCAGCCTAAGGAAGCAGAAGCTTTCCTTCTGAGCCTCTCAGAAGAAATCCAGCGTAGACTTGAAGCTGCTGGTATGAAGGGTAAACGATTGACCCTTAAAATTATGGTCAGAAAGGCTGGAGCACCAGTAGAGCCTGCAAAATACGGAGGCCATGGAATCTGTGATAATATTGCCAGGTAAATACTATGCATGAACACACTTCTGCAGAATCTAAAATTTATAGGAAGACAAGACAGAAATTTCAAAGTGCTCGTTACCTCTTTGTCTATGTATAAAACTTGCACCAAAATAAGTAGAATATTACTGTCAAAACTCCTCTGTGTTTGGGTTTAACATTGGTGATTTTCCGGTTATCAGTAAATACTTACATGCTTATATATTGTTGGTGTACCTTTCTCCAGCTTGCTCAGTATTGGAGGTGAGGGTTTTCTTTTTTCTTTGAAGAAGACATATTTATATCCTGCACTGTGATACACATGCAGCAGCAATGATTTCTTTCAGCAACCAGCCAAGTTGAAAGGTTTTGGTGCTGCTTAGTGTTCTCTCTCCCTGAGCTGTGTGATGTTGGGTGCTTTCCTTTTTCTTGAGAGGCTTTCTGCTGTTCCTTGATAGATCTCATAATGATTGTGACAGTTGGAGCCAGTTCTCAGAGAAAATTGTGCTTTGTCAAGAAAGGTGCCTAATAGTACCATAGTCTTCCAGGTCTGGAGTGCAGGGGAGCTATGGCAATATTTGCAGAATAATGACTTGCTGCAGTGACTGGGAGGCCACTTCAAGTTCTGAGGATGAAGCTGACCTCAGACACCTTGGACTGGAGTCATTCGTCTTAGTACAGACAAATTTGTTAGTGTTGAATCTTGTTTTTCCTGTTGTTTTATCAGTAAATTTGCAGAGAATTTTTTTGGTCCAAGAAGAGACAGGGAAGTTCTGAAGGGGAGCTTAGAAAGTTTAATCTCAAAATCATAAGGTCAAAGACTGTGCCCCATGTTTCAGCTGTTCAAGAATGCAATCTGTTCACATCTCTTGACCTTCATAGCTACATTTTTTCATGTGGATATAAGTTATTCATCAGAAGTGCCATTGTTTTCTTGTGTAGCCTTATCAGTGTAATAAAGTTTCATTCTACCTGGGTTCGCCATAGAAGATCTCATCCAGATGCTCCCTGTAGAGGCTGCCCATCCTGAAGAATTGGGATAACCCAATTACTTTACCTGGGTAGTCAGTTGATAGGTCACTGTCAAAGGAGTAGGACCTTCAGCTTCCACGAGCAGTGCTGTTATTCCTGTTCATTGTTCTTTGTTCCTTATTGATAAACTGGATGATGTTGACTAAATATTTTTTAATCTGAATTTTATTTATATATTTGCATACTGAAAACTGATATAATCTAGGCATAGAGTATCACATGCTGTTTCATACAAGATTGTCACAGAACCTTCTACATAAACATACATTCTTCAGGAATACACTTCTTTATCAAAGCTTAGCAAAAGTAAAGCAAAGAAGCATACACTTCTCTGTTCTTCAGTACAGGATGATCCTGGCTTTTGAAAGATGATAGTTCTTTCTGCTTTTCCTCCCATCTCAGGTGTTTGTAACAGACTAATCTCTCCTGAACTGGAGAGTCATTTGGTGGGTGTTGCTGGTGGTGGAGGTGATGGAGTTCACACATCACAGAATATGCTGAGTTAGAAGGGACCTCCAGGGATCATCAAGTCCAGGTGCTGGCTCTGCGTGCAGCATCCACGTGCCCAGGAGTTCTTTCAGTGGGTTAGAGTAAAATAGTATGACTTGTATTCATAGAGCCTGTCATTCATGTGATCTTGTTACACAGAATTCAGCTGTGATAAAAACTGAAACAACAAAATTCATGTTTTGCTATAAGAAGCTCATCACTTCTTAGAATTGGTATATATATCAAGAAGAAAATCCATCAGTCTGTACTTTTTTCTTCTGTCTGTCCTGAATTCTTTGAGCTGAACATTTATTCTTAGCAGCCTAAGAACATGTCTTTGAGTGTGTATTGAGATAGAGCTTTATTCCTTCTATATTTTAACTATTGTCAGAGTGCTTTTTCATGAACAGATCAGTGCTTTGGACCCCTTTTCTGTGGTCAGGCATGCTAATGTACACATGTCCTGAAATTTCCCTAATTCATGAAATTTTCAGTAAAGTCAGGGGCACCCAAGAATGCAAAATTGTTCACACATCACTAAAGCAGTTCAGATGCCAGGATTTTGTTTAGTGGTGTCTCTGTTTCTGCTTCTGGCTTTCCAGTGACCTTGCAAACCCCAGTCAATCCAGGTTATACTGTAGGTGCTGTATTTCTGTCTTTGTTAGAGCATTTCTGTTCAGGCCAGTGGAAGGCCTTTTAGCAGTGGAAGGGTAAACTCCAAAAGTTGCATTCAAACAAATGAATTAGAATCTCAGTGTGGTGTTCCTTCAAGTGACCAGTTTCTCTTCAGTTTAAGATTTTTCTCTGTAGCTTTAGCTCATGACTCATTTCTTGCCCCCTTACCTCACAGGTGAATGGCTTGCTATGCTTTCTCATCCTACAGGTCAAATAATAACTGCAGTACTGCAAAGGACTCAGACTTGCAGACCTGCTTAAAATCAAATTTGCTTTTGAAATTAAATGGTCTTTTTACTGCATCTCTGAAACCCAGTCCTGATAGTTCAGCATAGACCTTTCTAAAATATTTTTCTGAAATGTTGTGTACCTTCAGGTTTGTGGTGATATTGATCCCCTTTTTCTTAAAAATGCTAACATGTAAAGCTTAAGAAGATCTTCATATTGTTAGTCTGAGGGTTTTTTGTTCTCATATTGGCAGAATTAGACCTTCCCAGAGATCACGTGGCTGTGCATGGTGGTTTCTGACAGATTCAGAAGCAGAGTAACACCATCCAAGTGTTTAGTAAGTTGTCAGGATGGCAACCTGTCAAAACACCAAACTTCATTTTGTTGATAGAACCCACTCTATCAGAACTCAAACTGCATCAGTTATTTCAGTGAGAAGACTTCACATCACTCACATACATTTGATGAGCCACTTGAAATTTTGTCCTTACCGATGTCAAAGTTTAGGCCATTGGAGAATCCAGAGGTACCAAGCACTGCTGCCATACTCTCAAGTGGTAGTCTGTAAAACTCACAGCCAGGTTGTTTTATGAGACTTGTTGCAAAAAATTGCCCATAGCTTAAGATAATTTGAATTCCTTGTTGCTTGTCATCCACATGCACATGCCTATATCTGCTTCCCCTCTGAGTTCCTTTATAAACTCTTGCTGTAGACATTTGACAATTGACAACTGAAATAATAACGAACAAACTCTCTGTGAGCAAGCTTAGTGAAAAACAAAAATGCAGGAGTGTGTTTTTGTGCAAACTGTAAACTTCTTGTGAAAGTTTTTGTCTGGCTTCAATAGATTGCATATATATATATATATATATACTAAATTTGACCTTTTAATGTGTGGACTGCACACTGAGAATGTTCAGTTAGTAAGTATTCTGCTTCTCTAACTTCTTCTGTCGATCATGCTTAGTTTTAACTACCTTTAAAAAGAAACCACAGAATAAATAAAAAGTATTCTATATGTCAAGAAATTATGATCTGTCTTTCTTTCAGGTCCTCTCTGGAAGAAATACAGAATTTTTGTCTTTAGGATTTGTGAAACAGTTTCCTTTTTAATCATACTTGTTTGGTTTTTTGTAGGACTGTGACTCTAGACCATGCAACAGACAGTGCAAAAGTAATTGGGAAGGAAACTCTGAACATGTTTCACACAATGAAACTGAACATATCCGATATGCGAGGGGTGAGTTAATGGAAAAACTGAAATTCATTCTCTTTATCAACCTGTTTTGTTGTCTTTTGTGGATTTTCAGTTTCCTGTGGTAGATGATAACCAAACTTAAGCAAAAGTGTAGGTAATGCAAAGCTTATGAAAATTAGTGTATGCAATTATATTATGTTTTGTAACCTTTGAAAAAACATGGTTACAAAGCCATAAATGTAAAAAAATAAACTTTTTTGTGGTATAAAGCACAACTTAAAACAACCTGAGGTAACGAAGTAAGGCAGTATCTTCTACACAGTTCTATCAGCATGTGTAAATTTTATTTTGTCTTAGGATTTTCTGTAAACCTTTGCCATACATTAATTATTTAACTAATATAAACTAATAGATAACTGTTTGTAATACCAATCCAAGATAGAGATGAAAGGAGCTTTTGTTATAGACTGCAAGTCTTAGAGCAAGAAAAGTTACCAGCCCATGTTTTGGCCTTTGTTTGAAGGTGATTTTCTGGCTCTTTTGATTCATGATTTATTTTAAAGCTCCTGCTCATCTCAATGATTTTGTCATAGCAATGTGACCCCATGATGCTGCTATTTTGACATCAGCCATTTGTTAGAATAGAACACAGGGGTTTCTAAAACAAACCTGCATTAATTCATCATCTGGATATAGAAGTAGGATTTATCTCTATTGCAACTAAGAAGGTGTTAATAAACAACATCCTTACTATGTAGTTACAGAAGAAAACTGGTGGAAATATATGCAGTAGCTCCTTCATGCTTTCTGAGTCCCATAGACAACTTTTTCTAAGTGTCAGGTTTTTTTCTTTAAAATTATGGAGGATAGGCAATAAACTCATACAGTGCACCAGTGCATTCTTAATTAGACACACTTTTTGAACCCCTGCTGATTTGGTATTTAGAAGTTAAATGAAAAACTAGGGTGTCTTGAAAAATGAGGAACACCTTATCTAAAAAAAGACTGCTTCTACCAAAGTACTTTCATCCATTGAGACTTTGCAAAAACGGTGTTTGCAAGTGAAGCAGTAGTATTTTTCTCATTTGTAGACTGAAGTGATGGATTTAGTATAGATTGTCCTGGAGGAAAAGCGTTGCTGGGTAACCAGATTTAATACTAACCACATTCTTGTCAGTATTTCTGTATTTGTTAGTGTCCAAGAAATTCCATAAAAAACACATTGATCATGATCCTATTGACAGCACTTTTTTATATCAGAGAAGTTAAGATGGTAGTACCTTTGTAATTTCTTAGTTGTTGGATTATAGTGGGTAATCCTCGGATTAGTTTGGGATATTTTAAGTGGCTGTTTGCATGTATTTCAATATATTTTCATTTGTTGTCCCCCCACCCACAGTAGGCAGCCAGTTCCAAAGAAGGCAATGTTATTATGATATAATTACAGTTTTTAAAATTTATTTTATTTATTTCAAACTTCATTAAAGGAATGCATTTATGTTTTGATTTAGGTTGGAATTCAAGTACAGCAGCTAGTTCCCATCAGTAAAACAACTTCAGCTCTCTCAACAGTACAATCTGGACATTTACCTGGTGGATCACATTCAGTTATTGATCTTTTTCATGTTCAGAAAGCAAAAAAGCACTCAGAAGAAGAGCATAATGAAGGTCAGTGAGCTTTGTACTTGGCATGTGTGATAATGATCAGTTCTGAAGGACCTTAATATAGATCACCTTTTGGAATACTTATTTAATATTATACCAGTATAAATTATACAACATAAAATTTCTGAGAGTGGAGTTTGCTGCTGCAAATGAAAATGCTGTTAATAAAACTTTGTATAGGATTAGTCCATTTTTTTTTTTAGTTAATAGTAACGGGATACTTTGAAATAAGTGTTATGATTGTGCTATATATTGTGTAAACTCTTCAAATACTGCTAGAAATTACCTTTTGAATCTTCAGAGTATTTTTAACTATTAGTTGATCACTGTATTTTGTTTCCATTTGTATAGTATTTGTGGCTGCTATGGACCTTGAAATATCTTCTAATTCAAGAACTTGCACTTTCCTTCCATCTCGTGGTACCAATGTCACACCTGGTCTCAATTCTAATGCCAACAACACTGAGTCTGCTGTCAAGTGGAATGGTGTGCATTCTCCTATCAGTGTAAAGTCCAGGCTCAACTTAAGTATTGAGGTTCCATCTGCTTCCCAGGTAAACCTGATAGTATGAAACATCTGCAGCATATTTCAATAACTTGTCTTATTTGAATAGACCCAAAAGGAGCTCTTTTTAAATAAAAAGAGTTCTAGTAAAGTACAGTGCACAGTAAGTAACTGTTACTGATGCAAAAATATTTTGCCCTAATAAAATAAATAATGTAAGTTAGGATGCACACTTAACATTTATACAGGATACCACTAGTTAGATGAGTGGAGGACAATCTTTATTTAAGGACAATCTTTATTTATTTAAAATATTTATACGGGATTTGAAGACTTTTTTTAGGTGTGTTTTAACAAAGGGACAGCTTTCGTTATTTCCACCCCACATGCTGTTCAAGTAGACTCTGTTAGTACGGTCTGCTATGAAACAACTGCATAGAATTCTGCAGGTATTTTAGGTATAAGCAGATTTACTTGTTATTGTGTAGAGGTCTGTAATTTAAATGTCTGTAGTTTAAATCTGTAAAAGCATTTCTGATGTTTTTTAATAGCTTTCTCAAATATTTATCTATTTAAAGAAGCAAATTATGCTTTTGGGAGGAAACTCTTCCCTATAATGCAATATCTAAGCCAGCTCATGATCTAAAAGTAACTTGACTGAACAACGTGAAGCTCTGTACACTCGGATGCTGCCATAGGAGTCATATGTATAAACAAGTGAAAAGTGCACTAGCTGTTCAGTAGAGTTCCTAAAACTTTGGTGGCCTTATGGCACAATACCTTTCTTTCTGCTTTTAACCGTATTATAGTATGAAATGTAATAAAAAATTCAGGGCTGAGAAGGAGTGGTGTGAGTTAGTGCCACACTGCTGTATACTGTACTAGGAAAGAAACAGCAAGATATTTTACACTCAGGATTTCCAGGAAATTATTATAGAGTTATATATGGAGCAAATTTGGAATGAGTGAACACCAACAGAACATGGAAGAGGAACTGAAGCTATTAACAATACAGGCAGCTTTCATCCAAACTTCTCTGTTGCCAAGCCAAGTAGATTTTCAGAGATATTTGTGGTTCTTCTCTGTAAATCCAGAATCTGGTAAAAGATAAACTATTCTAACACATCTATGAAGTCTTATTCAGCAGAACTTAGAGGCAAATGTTGGTATTTCTCTACATAGTGTTATTCAAATTTGTGAGAGAAACGATGCTGTGCAGCTGCTTGTCAGTTGTATTCGTTCACTTTCAGTCACTTTGTGCAGCTGTCGTACACAGCAACTTTTGGACACTGAGGGGTTATCTCAGTTGTTTCAGGTGAATAATTGATAGTAAGTAAAAGCTTATTTCATCATCCAACTCTGGCAAGTCTGACAGTATGCAAACACGTGTGATACCAGTAAAGTAAATCAGTAACATGCACCCTAGAACTGTGTAAAGAAAGAAATCAATTGCTTACAGCTTTATGCCAGACACAAATTTAATATTCATATCAATCTGTTGCTTGTGTAATTTGAACTCTGAATTCAGGTTTCTTTATCATTAGGTAGCTGTAGAGGAAACCTTATCTATGGTTTTTGGTAAGAAGACTGATCATTGTGAAAAGATAAAACTGAGCATTCATATTTACTGAGCTGCTTAGTCTTAAATGATACTTTACTGCTGCAGAGTGTAACTCTCAGGTTCCTAAGGATGTTTGCATACACAGGGTAATATGTAGCGGGTTTTGTAAAATTCAGGAACTGTGTAACTAAAATTTTGACTAAAATAACTCCATTACCTATTCCTAATCTAAAATCTAAAAGCTTTTGTATACTTGTAGCTAGATAAGTCTGTGCTGGAAGCTCTGCCACCTGATCTGCGAGAACAAGTAGAGCAAATATGCACCATTCAGCAAGGAGAGAGTTACGGAGAGAGCAAAAAAGAGCCAATAAATGGATGTAACACTGCACTTCTGTCACAACCAGTTGGAACAGTGCTTTTACAAATACCAGAGCTCCAAGAACCAAATACCAATATGGGAATCAATGTAATAGCCTTGCCGGCTTTCTCACAGGTAAGATGTTTGCATGGTATCAATAAACAATTACTTTTCATTTGTGGGAAGTTAGAAGCTCTTTATTGAGATAGCATTAACTAGAACTTGTGACTTCCCACAATCGTTCCTGGTCCTTTAAGAGTCTGTTTTTAAATGTTACATTATGTGTCAGAAACATAGTACGGTAATACTTACTGAAGATTATATCATCAGTCTGTCTATGTTTTTGTTGTTGTTTAGTGTAAAACCCCCTCATATGTGGTCTGCTTTTCAATCCAGTCTGTAAATAGCCTTTTTTCTGCATTGCAGCTGAGTTACACTGAACCATAAGTCTGAAGCAGTCCTAAAATCTGCTTAGCTAAGTCACAGGAGACTCTGTTTAAGTGTGTATTCTGATGGGGTAAAGCCAACCTCTGCTGGCTTCTTCTGTAGATGTGGTTGTTTGTATCCCATTCCTGAGAGAAGGGCAGTCATGGCTAAAGGTTGTGCATGTCTCCATAGTTTTTAAATGGACTCATATATAGCATGTCCAGGATGAGAAAAGAACAAAGATGATTGTCAAAATAGGGACCTGAAAGGGCAGCAGGGAACAGTAAAGATGCTCCTGCTGTTATTCTGCTCTTCAGTCCAAGAAGGTGCTGGAAAAATGTAGTGTAAAAATTAAAAGAAAAAAAAAATTAAAAATCAAAGATTGGATTACCTAAAGACACACTATCTTGCATTGCATCATTTAAAATGCAGCATTTTTTTTATTTTTCTGTTTCATCACACCTTTGCTGTTCTCAAATGAAGTAATACCACTTAATCACATTTATAGATTTGTTACAATTTCTAATGCATAATGTTTCTTAGCTGACAAAAAATCCAGAGAAAATAATGTAGAAATTCCACTAAATAGTTAATGCATAATTGTTATTTTAAAAGATGTGTAGTCTATTCTTTTACTAAAGTTTCCTCACCTTGATTCTAGTTCATTGGTTCAGAAACAGTTGTGCCAGTTTTTATTCTTGAACTGCAAAGTTAGGTTTCCCCAATGGATTAGTATTCAAATAATATCTGAGTTCTCTCTGCCCCAGCTGTTTTAAATTTTGTAGTTACATCTGTCCATAAGCAAGATGTGTGTTAAATTAGGCTGTGCTCTGAAGTACACCCCTCCACACTTGGCTTGCCACTCAGTGCTGTTTTTCAGGGTAAATGGTAACTGCATATGGCTTTCCATAAAAATTCCTGTCAGTTTGTTTATGCTTTATCTGTCTATTAATTAGGTAGTTGAGAATTGATTGTTATTTTTTTAAACAGCATTACTTTTTGAAGTTTTTTTAAAAGGATCTAGTTTGCAGTAGTTTTTTGCACTGGATTTTCTGTCCCTCTATCTACTAATTTTTGTGACCCACTTACTTGATCCAAAAATGCAACTTAGAGCAGCCTTTTTGTTTGAAGATGTAGTACAAAAAGAATTGAGTATTTCCTATTTATTTGTTGTGTATATCCATACTACGTATTTGAGAGTGCCTTATGCTCATAGTCCAAATTTTCTCCTGAAAGCCATTCATTATTAGCAAAAAGAGGACTAATATTTACAATTTTCATTTTCTGAGTTAGGTTCAAGTTTAATACCTCAAATAGTATGGTTGAAAAGCTTCCTGTAGGCTTGGGGGGTGGGGAGGAAAGCTAAACCCAGTTCATTAATACAGAAGGATTTTTTTTCCGTGTTAAAATCAAACATGAACTTAATTCAAAAACACCCTCTTACTCTAAATATAGTTTGACACATTTTTTCTCTTAAAGTCTTTGTGGTTGTGTATATGCTATGACTACACAGAAACATTTAAATCTACCTCATGGCCCATGAACCAGTGAAATGAGTAGTAACAGGTTTCAGGTATAGAAATACTGCCAGCCACTCCAAAATGAGTACTTTATCTACATCAGATGTAAATTATGCCCTGCCATCTTTTATAGCTTAATAAGGTTTGTTTTTCAGGTCTTCATTCCTTTTGTCTCAGCTGAGTTTTTATGATCAGGTGCAAAGCTAATTGGCTGGTAGTGATTTATTCATTAGAAAACGTGGCAGATTTCCTTTGCTAGGTAAAATTCTCCTGTGAAGGGAATCTAGATAGGTTGCATTCCTTTTCTATCAGTTGCTGAAGTCTAAATCGTGAAATTTAGAGAAGCAATATGTCTCTGTAGCCTGAATCCTGCAGAAGTGTAGGATGCAAAAGGTAAAGATTACAGATGCCTAGAAATTAATGACATTTGTAATAATGATGTTAATTAGTGGTGGCGAGTTTTCGTCTCTTCCTTACAGTGTCTTCACGTGGTATAGAATCCTCCTAAGGAAATTGATATAAGCACATCAGAAATACTGATAGCTGTATGCTGAGATCATCCATGACTTTATAAAACCAAGATTCTCCATAAGCTTTCAGATACCTGTATCACAATGTTAGGATATTGTCAGTTATCTGAAACTCCAGTTATATGGGAGAATGCATGTGAATTCAACTGATGGCTCCTGTAGTTGAATTTTTCCATGTTACACTCTGAGAGAGTAGTGATGGGGGAATAACAAAAATGCACCCAGTTCACATACTGCATTATTTTACATGGATTAAGTGGTGTATACAAAAAAAGTGTCAGCTCAGAGCATTCCAAATCCTTGACTCTCGAATGCTTTTCCAGAGATCACTTACCTTTTTTAAAAAGTTTCATTAAGTAAAATTTGTATTTAAAAGGATAACTTACACACGTGATGTAATTGGCTGCATTCCACTCTAGTGCTTTGTTCTGCACATTGTATATGGTATTAGGGTCAGAGCTGTTCCTGTTTCCTCCTTTAATTAGTGCATATTCTGTGTGGTGAAAAATTTGTGTTGACTCATGGAGTTCTGAAAAAGGAACAAACTTGTGCTAAATTGATGAATTTTAACCTGTAAGAGCATGTTATAATGGGAAACTCCAAATACAAGATGAGTCTGTCACTGATATGCCACTTCAGATATGCAATGAGAAATATATTTGATAAGACAAGAAATTTTATTTTTGTCCATATGAGTATGTCTGCCAATTGCCATCAAATTATTTCCTGTCTAGAATCCAAGTTCCTGGAACAGTTGCAAGGGACTGTACTTTTATCAGTCAAGCAAGGGGTAGACAACTCTGGGAGAAAGAGAATTAAACCCTTTTGTGCTACTTCAAAATATGACATAGCTGGACTTGGCTTTTCCTGTCTTTAGAGAACTGAGACCATTTTCAAGAAAAGTCTGAGTTATATAGCAACTTGCAGGAAATAGAAGTATCAAAAGAAAAGGAGGAACAAAAGTCTGGTGGTCACAATATCTGCCTTTTGAAATTTGAAGGGAGTACTCTCTGGGTTAGGCTAAATCCTGCTCTTAATGCAGCAGTACTGGGTATCAGTAGGTGAGTAAAGATGGTTAGTGCATTATATGCTCATAATAGTAATTTTAATAAATAATTAGTGTAATATTAAATGTACATTTTGTTGGTTTTACAAACTAAAATATACAAAGAAAATGTACAATGTGTTTTATAGTGTTTCAGTTATATCTCCTTTATTTTTGCATGGCATACAATGTAAACACCTTTCTCATATGAGTGACTTAAAAGGAAGCAAATGGTGCTGGTCACTGCTACAATAATCAAATGTATCTTTTGTTACTGTTCAGGTGGACCCCGAGGTTTTTGCTGCACTACCTGCTGAGTTGCAAGCAGAGCTGAGAGATGCATATGATCAAAGGCAGAAGCAATTAGAGCAGCAGCCTGTTAACACTTTAGGTGAGAATATGTAGCTGTGCAGAAGTCTTCTGGTATAGGAGTTGTTTGCTCTCCAAACAGCTCTGCAACCCTAAGTAACAAACTTGAAAATACAACCAAAGCTTCTCTGAAGATGCTGTGTTCAATTGAATTTCTATATTTATTTTTGACAGACTGTTCTGTTACAACCAGCTGTGGTTTCAGTTTGCAGACAGGTGCCCAGCTTTACTCAAATGGGTAATTAATTCAGTTCATGGGGACTGTGGCACTAAACTTACCCACATCCATATGTTTGCCTAATGGAATCCAAACTTGATGTGTCTTGTGATTTAAAGTATTGCACCTTCTTAAGTTGGTTAAACTCTGTTCAGGGAGCATTCTCATGGTTCCCTGAAATCTATAGCACTTGGCAGGGCTTTGGGGCAGCTAGAGAAAGATACACTGCATCTCACTGTATGTCTGATAGTCAGCTGGGTTTACCCGGAGCTGATCATCCAGGTCTCCATTTTGAAATCAGTAGAAAGAAAATAAGACTAATTCCCTGTGAACATGCTTTGTCATAAAGATAGGTTATAAATGTTATTGGCTTGATTGCCAGTTAAACATGGCATTGTAATTACAATCACACCCTGATTTCATAGCCAGTGGACTAATGCAGATGTGTTAGAATGATGGAATGAGAGTGATTTCCTTCATAAACTGTGATAAAAGCATTGTGGGGGCCTTAACACTGCTCCTTTGCTGATAGCACAGTGCTCTGACTGAGGTGAGGCAATTTGTCCAACAGATTCAGATTTCACCAGCTGCTTATATTCAAGTACTGAAATGCTCCCATTAAAAAACTTACGAATAGCTGAGTATCCTTTGCATACACTGGAAGTCTAACAGTGCTTTTCAAATACTTAAAACCTTGCCAGGATCTGGAATGGTGCCTTTGTTAAAGTTGCTTTATCTAGGCTGTGTTTTCCCAAATGATCATTAGATTTTTATGGGAGATACAGAGTCCCCCTTTTAGTGGAAAAGTATTAAATTTTAAATGTATCAACCACTGACTATTCCTATGTTTTTCAGTGTCAAAAAATCCTTGCCTACACCTGAAGCATACAACTATAAAAAATAAGAAGAAAATACGGAAAAAAAATACAGTCAGTCCTGTGAAAAAGATTCAGAGTCCTTTGAAAAACAAACTTATTGGTAGTCCTGCAAAAAACATGCCAGCTACATCTGGAAGCCCACAGAAGCTAATAGATGGCTTCTTGAAACAAGAAGGAACAGCTGCTCAGGTACTTTTAACACAAACAGCTTTGGTAAGGCTGGGTCTGCTTCTTTAGATTGGGTTCATGTTGCTATTTTTCTTTACTGGATTCTTCATTGACACTTAGCTCTGTATGTGTATGGTGTTCCCATATTTGTCAGACTGAGCATTATCCACTTCTATGTTTGGAACAGGCAGAAGCAGTTCCATCAACTTCGGATTCTTCAGGCCCATCAGCTCTGCAGATGGAGCAGCAGCCAGGCTTGTTCAGGCCACAAGCCCCAAACCTCGCTGGAGCTGTGGAATTCAACGATGTGAAGACGTTGTTAAAAGAGTGGATCACAACTATCTCAGGTGAAGGATGTCCCAGTGGGATTATCTTGCAATGCATCACAAAGAAAACTTTGAGTGGCTTTTTGTACTTCCTTTCTCCTTCGCTCTTCCTTTTGCTGCTTATTTTTCACAGTACTCTTGAAGTCTTCCTTGGCAGTCCTGGAAGAACTTGATTCTTTCTACTAGTTGCTGCTCTGTGGCTTTGCCAGCTCCTGTGTCTTGCTTAACATCATGAAAATTAACATGCTTCCTCTTCAAAGCATGTGTCTGGCCATTGTCCTATGTCTTGATGTTATTTGTGTCTGAGGTTTACTCTATTATTCAAACATATTGTAACCACTGAGATGAAAGTTCTTGAAAAAGAATTCATTTTCTTCTATTAAGATCTCAGAGGCAAGGGACTGCAGGGCTTGGGTTTTTGTCAAAATAAATGCTGGAAAGAACTGTAGATAAAAAAAAAAACTGTGCAGTTGTGATACTCTTGCTAAATTGTGATTTGAATTAGGTCAAACATAGCAACTTCTTAAAACCTTGGGAAATTTGACCTTCCTACATTATTATTTTCCTAAGAGTTTCAGAACAGCCATTGCATTCTAATCCCAGTCTCTTTTTCCCTTTGGTTACTGCTAGCTTTGCTGTCAGTTGTTGTTACTGAAAAAAAAGAAAGAGGTCTACAAGACAGTTATTTCAGGACCCTGCAGTCCTGTTACATGCACAGCTTCTGATGTCAGAAAGATGTGTGAGAATACAGAAATTGTCAGGTTGGCCCCTGATATGCTGACACTGCAGAATTTCTTTCTCTTGTTATTCCCATTATTCTGTGATTATAAGTTACTTAGAGAAAATATCTCATTTTTAATTTTTTTTTTAATTTATTACAGATCCTATGGAAGAAGACATTCTACAGGTTGTGAAATATTGTACTGATCTCATAGAAGAAAAAGACCTGGAAAAGTTAGATCTGGTTGTTAAGTACATGAAAAGGTAACTTAATTGCTAGTGTTTTTGAACTTTAGACTATTTTTGTTAGAATTCATACACTAGATGCTGCATAGTGAGCCCATTAACCCATTAGACATTCCACTGATGAGTGTTTTTAAACTTAAAAACTGGTTTTAAGGGAAGGAGTTGGAGGTAAAATAGGTAATTTGTGAAAAATTAAGAGTAATATTTATTAGTATTTCATAGAATCACAGAATGGTTTGGGTTGAAAGGGACCCTAAAGATCACCCAGGTCCAACCTCCCTGCCATGGGCAGGGACTCCTTCCACTAGAGCAGGTTGCTCAGAGCTCTATCCAGCCTGGCCTTGAACACTTCAGGGATGGGGAATCCAGAGCTTCTCTGGACAACAATTTCTAGACAAAGATTATAGTTTTCATCAGCATTGTCCCTTTTCTTCATCCTCTTTTTGTTCATTTATTCATGGCATCTTAGACCTGATTTCATTGTCTTACTGTATCCAGATTCTGTCTCACCCCCAGCCCTTAAACCCATTCCTGTTACTTTGTTACTGTGCTCCTATTCCTGTGAGTTTGAGGTTTTAATCCATTTATTGACTTGTTTACTAACTAAAGCGTAACCGTGGAGCTCAGCTTTCTTGTTTTAGATCTGCAAAATACGTTTCACAAAATGAATCAACACCAAAAATACTACAGAAGTGTAGAAAGTTCACTTGGCTTTTGTATTATGGGATATCTTTGGCCTTAGAAAATGCAAAATACCCAATGCAATGAACTGTTTCATGAAATCTATATAGTAAATTCTTTATAAAACTAACTCTTCAGAATGTCCCATTCCTGGTCCCTGTGTGTGGGATCTGCACTGATGGCAGTGTGTCTCTCCAGAGGGTTCACACTTACCTGTGTGAGACTGATGTTACACCCTCTGAAGCTCTGAGTGTAGGAACCCCTGCTCTCCTGCAATGCAGGGGTCTAGAAGGGAGGCTGAGAGTGCAGAGCTGCTTTGTTTTCCTTGGGCAGTTCCTTCATTCACTTCTTGTAGCTGCTGATCATAACAGTAACTCACATCATAGGGGAGCTCATAATTCTCTGTGGATTTTGGTTTGAGCAATAAATATTTTTAAAAATGAAGATGTAAAAAATAAGAGAGTGCTCCAAACCCTGTTATTGAAATGTGTGGATTGCATTTGGCATTTGTTTGAAATAGAGAAATAGCATCTCTATCTTGGGATGAGGAAGTAAAGATCAGGCTTCAGAAGCTTGCCATTGGCAGAATGTCACCCACCACTGAATTCACAGGCTCACACCACTGCCAGATGCCAGCATTCACAAGCTGCTGTGACACTTTTCACACCAGGAATTTGTGCCATTAAGTAAGGCTTGGTGTGCTTATGTAGAGAGGGAGGGCTTTACCAGGACTGAATCAAAATTCCATTCATGGGGAACTGCTGGAATCTTGTTTTCCAGTGTGAAGACCAAAAGTGATTGTAAAAAGGACTGGTTCTGTAATTGTAATTTTCAGCCTCTTCTTCCTTTTCCCCTTCAGGTTAATGCAGTCATCTGTGGAATCAGTTTGGAATATGGCATTTGACTTCATTCTTGACAATGTTCAGGTAGTTTTACAACAAACTTATGGAAGCACATTAAAAGTTATCTGAACTTGTAGTAAAGAGCTTGATGAAAGCCTGGAGCTTTCTGCTAGCTGTGCCATAAGTGCTTGTGAGGTATTTGCAAAGTGCATGATAGTAATGCCCTGAGTTTTTATAATTTCAAATTTCTTTTTAAACAACAAAGTGTTTTGTACATTTCTTTTCAGAAAGTGCCAAATTTGTCAGTATTGCATGTAAATAATTGTGTTAAAATTCTTTTATTGTAGTATAGAATCTATTTACAAAATGTTTGTTTATAAAGTTTTATGGATTTTTACAGTGAAGTGTTTACAGTTGTTTAATAAAGAACTGTATGTATATTTTTGTACTGATTCTATTTTGTGATGCTTTAGTTTGAATATAGTGAACCCCTTTTACTAAAGCTGCAGCTTTGATTCCTTTCACTAAGTTTTACACAGTGGCACTTCCTCAACTCATGGAGGAGGCTGCTGTACAGGCACCTGGCCTTTTTTTTTTTCTTTTCCACTAACTTTATAACAGATTTTAAGCTGAGGGAAGAATATTAGTTCATTTTCAGTTTCGTCCTTCAAAGATTCAAGCCAGGGTGGCCCAGCTGAAGTACACAGGACGGCAGCTGAAACCTGGGTGCTGCCTGACCTTGGCATCTCATCACCTCTTACTGCTTCTGGAGGAAGGCAAGTCACCCCAAAGTAGCACTGTAAAGAAGGGGGGAGTAGCCACCACGGAGCGTCGGTCAAGCCTGCATCCATCTCTGCATTGCTCCTACTGCTGATGGAGCCACGTGTAAAACACCACTGTTCTGCCCAGCATTTCCTTCGTGCAGCCTAACAAAATAGGTTGTAGGGAGTAGCAGAGACAAAATAAACCATCCCACTGCTGTGTCCCTGCTTGGGGGGTGTGCTTGCATCCCTGCACTTCATGTGTCAGGTAAGTTTGCTTTTTGCAGGTGTGCAGCAGCCTCGCACAGTTGTTCAAAATATTGGGCCAAGTACAAGAATGGAGAACACTCGACAAAAACCAAGTTGGTAAGAAAAATCTTTTCTGAAGAAATGATGGGGGGAGGTGAGAATTATCCCACATTAATGGTGGGCTTAGAACTGAGAGCAGGAATGCAAGCTGGAGCTAACCCTGGAGCAGTATTTGCACCACTAGCTTAAACAGAAGCACCTTGCCTAGCACAGGGCAGGAGCTGCTGCATGAGAGCAGCTAGCAGTACAGCTGGGGCAGAGAACACTGCTTACAGCAGTGGCAGCAGGGTTTTAGCTTCAGACTGTGACCTTGACTTTCTCATACCAGACACTGGGAGAGGTACCAACCTCTACAGCCAGGCGACAGATGAGGGAAGGGCAGGAAATGTCACTTCCCTTGACTTCAGTAAGGCTTATTATTAAATCTCCTGTCATCCTTGAGGACAAGCTAATAAAGTTTATTGAAACCTGGGCAGGCAGGCTCTGAGTGTGGTGGTCAGTGGTATAAAGTCCTGTTAGGGGCCAGGCCTAAGTGGCCCCTAGAACCAGTACCAGGTCCAGTGCTATACATCACCTTTGTAAAGGATATGGGTGACAGGGTGGTGCAGTGTGAGCACGTTTGTGATGACAGAGGCTGAGGGGTGCTGCTCCCAGCGATCCAGCAGGTTCTGGGAACCTCGTGAAGTTCAGCACAGAGGTGCCAGGTTCTGCTCCCAGGGAGGGACCAGCTCTCAGTAAGGCCTGGGGGCTGCTTGGCACAGCACAGGCAGCTGCCAACCTGCACAAGGAAGATTCCCCAGGATCAAGGCAGGAGCTTGTTCCCCCTGCTTAGCACTGGTGAGAGGCACCTGCAGTGCTGGGCCCCTCAGTAGAAGAGAGACAGAGTGACTCTCAAACACAGCCCCAGTGCTGCCCAAAGAGAGTAATGGCGCTTCTCCCACAGCACAAGGCGGGCTGAGACAACGGGGACTGTGACAAGGCTGAGGGTGTCTGATCCATGTGAATAAACACCTGATGGGGATCCTGCACTTACATCCAGTCATTGATTGGTGTCTAGAGAGAGATGGACATGGTCTGAATCAAGATATCTTAAGATGCCATTAGTTTATTTTGGAGCCCCTTCAGTTCCCACTTTTGAAGCTGCCTTTTCTCTTCACCTTGGTTTAGAAAAACCAGCACATCAACTGCTCACATCAAGGCGGGTATTGCTGAAACTCAAGCAGGTATTTTACCAGTCAGGTTTCAGGTACAGCCCTGTTTTTGGAACTGGTGCTCAGACAGGGGTAAAATCGGCATCTTTAAAAGGACTCAGCGTTCATTAACGATCAAGCTATTTTAAGTTCCACAACGAGCCTGCCTGGTTCCTGGAGTTTTCACCTATGGGAAGAACACCCTTAAACATTTGAGGAAACAAGAATACGTTGACCACAGTCTCTGACATCTGTGTTCTTAAGAACTTTTTATTAGTGTAGTTTTCATGATTGCATAGTTTGCAAAAGAAAATTGTAACAATTAAATGCAGTCTTCTCCCTCTGATCATTCAGCCACGGATGGGAAGTTGCACCACACACCAACCATAGTGAAAAGGTCCTTTTCAATGGCAAGTTTAACAAAAAAATCCAGAAAGTTAAATTCCATTTGCAAAGGAAGTGAGTTACTAAGTGTTCCTTTGTAATGGAGTCCACATAGTCTCAATCAGAACATTCAGATTTTTCCAACAAAAAAAGTAATCCAAGTGACAGAAGAAATCTGATCAAATTGCATGTTGCATGTTAAACTCTTGCAAGTATCTTAAATGCTAAAAATCTCAGCTGCATAAATGATCTTTGATTTTGTTTCAGCTTGTGCTTTAGAAGAGTTTATTTGCTCCCGTCAGCATGAGCTGTGAGTTACCCAGAGCCAGCATCAGTAAGAACACATCAAACTGTTATCCCAGGGAGGGAAGCAGAGGGGAATGGGGGGTAGGAAAATGCTGGGATAACAGACTGACTCCTGCTCATCACAAACATCCACGCTGGAGCTGGTTCAGTCCCACGCTGTCAGGTGACTCCACAGCTGTGATGCAGCATCCAGTCAGCTCTGGGCCGGCTGTGCAGGTGCTCACAGCCCTGAGCAGCAGCTGGAGAAGAGATGCCAGCTCTGACCTCCTCCGGGAGTTGTGCCGGGCTAAACACCTGGCCTGCCCCTCCCGTGCCTCGGGAACGCTGACATCACCACCTTGAGCACACTGGAAGTGCATTCAGAGGAGGAAACGCCTTTGAGGCAACAGCCTCCACCCTTTTGCCAAGCAGAGGGAGGCAAGAGGGCCCCTGCCTGGCCTTTCCATGAAGCAAAACTTTAATTACTGAAGCAAACTGTTAAACAAATGGTCTACTATGTCCATCTCCTTTATTTGTGGCTCTGCATTATGATTACAGGTTGACTTCCATGAACTGTACAAGCAGTAGAAGGTGGGCAGCTATGCTTTACAACATTGTTTCACACAAAGCAAATACAGAGATCTCCAATTGCCTAATTTTCTATTAAAAAAAAAATCTATAGGCACAAAGCAGAAGAATGTTGGAAAAGAAAGTCAAGGAAAGAGGTATGCATAAATAAAGAAGTATTTCTTACATCAAAAATGTCCCAAGAATCAAAGGCTGCAGAAGCTTGTTTAATCAAATACTGCAGTACTGCTCTCGTCAGTATAAAAGTGAAAGAGCTTTAGTTCTGTAATAAAAATTCAATTTATTTTATTTTGGAGAGAAGAGGGGAAAAGGGTGGAAGGAAGGTGTAAGAGAAGGAAGGGCAAACTTTAAAACAGCAGCCAGTATTAGGAGGGGTAGTAGGAGAAGTGAACAGGCACATTGGAACCATGGGAACATGTAAATTGACCACTGTCAAACCAGTGTAAATTTCTTGGTTTCTCATGGAAAACATTTTATCCACATATTTTCCTCCCAAACATATATCCAACACTGTCTTCAATATAGGACTTTGTTGGTAACTTTTTTAGAACAGGAAGAGTGCATTTATTCCTGCTTGCCCATTGCTGTAAAAGTTATCTAGATGATTTCAAACACTTTCTTCAGTTCTACTATAAGCTGCCAGTCAGACTTCTGCATCTCATCCCTGAACCAGTCCTTCAGAGCATCGATGGACTGACGGCTGATCTGTAACACACGAGGCAAACCCGTCAGAAACACACAGGAATTAAAGGCACTTTCAGCACATAGGAAACAGTTACTCTGAAGAAAGGGCAGTCTGCACACCTGGTAAACTCATTCTAAGCCCCACTTTACTACTGATCAGCTGAATGACCATCCTATTTGTTGCCCTTCATTTCTCCTCACACCATGTCCCTTATCTGGTCTAGTGGGGCTGCAGTTGGACAGACCATCCCACAGCTTATTGCAGTGAAGCACGAACTGGAGACATCTACTTCCACCAGGGCCTACAGGACCAGCAACCCCACCCTGTCCCTATCCCAGGCTCTACTCGCCCTTCATTTGTGGGTACACTCCCCTGGCACGTGTGTAGCAGGAGGTATCCTATGACATGGATGCTGACTAAAGCAGTTGGGAAGGTGGAGAGCTGTGGTTTCATTTCCAACAGCAGAAGATGGAGTAAAGGGATCATCTCCTCATTCAAGCCCAGTGTCCCACAGTCAGAGCAACTGGAGGATTGCTATTTATTGTGCTATTTATTGTGGGGGACTGCTGAGCTCTGTGTACAAACAGTTGGCAAATAGCGAGTGTGGCTTTTTGCCCTCTCAGGTGCTCTGAGCTGCAACAGCCACAGCACCTCCTTCCTTTGGGCCTCTGCAGGGCACCACTACAGACCTCAAACCACAGCTCCAGAAACCTCAGCTGCACGATGACACACAGGCACCCTCCCTAGTGAATGTCAGACTGTGACAGAAGGCTTTGCCCCTGTTTTTGATGTTTCATGCTACACTTCCATTTCAGGAAAGCTGCCACTCTGTCCTAAGCCCTCTCCAAAAACGCATATTCTTACCTTGCTGACAAGGATATCTGTTGCTTCAAAATGTCGTCCATACATTTTAGGTGATTCCCCAGGAATAGGTTCTATTTTAACACATACTTCTTGGCCTTTCTTTGCAACATCCACTGGTTTGTGGTTTATTTCAATACTTGTAACTATTCCAATTTCAACAAACTGTAATACAATGAAGCTGCTGTAACACATCCACCAAACCTTTGTGCACACACCCTTAACTCCTGTTTGTAGGCACCAGCGGAGCTGCCGCCTCAGCACAGGCAAGCAAAAGGTACAGCACAGCAAGTGCTCCATCCTGAAAAGGGCAGGGACACCAACCTCCCACAGCTCATCTGGGATATCAACTGGCTGTCCCCTAAAATCTCAAGAGTTGGTTCTCCCCCTTTTTAGCTACCAGGTATGATAATTTTGCCCATTATCAATACCACAGCACAGAACTGGCAGGTGCCTTTCAGCCACAGTTCCTGTGCTCTGCTCAATGGCTCAACTCTTCTGGCAGAGAGCAGTGAGGTATTGGAGCACCAGAAGAAAGACTTGATCTGCAAGTCTGACCCTCATCTCCTACCAGCAATCTGTGCACTGAGGAAAGACATGCAAGCACTCCATGATGCATCATCCCAGGAACTACCAGCTGGATAAAACATGCAGTGGGAAGAGGCCCTTACTTACGTTTTTGCTAGGTACACACATAGGAGTCCCCTGCTTCACCTGGCCAGCCTCTACCACGACACCCATCACTATTGGGTCACGAGAGTTGAAAATGAACTGAGGGAGTATTTTCAACTTGCATGGAAATACTGCTATATGCCTGGAAGGAGACAAGAAAAGGCACGTTGAAAGATACACTGGAACAGTGGATGGAACATTAACAGTTCTGCTTTCTCCCACACTTCTTGGGCATTCATTCTAGGAGCGTTACTTGCAGTAAAATCAAGCAGAAAAAAAACTCTCTTCCAATCTTGCTAATTCTAGTCCATACTTATCTTCAAGAACTAGAAGGAGCAATAATCATGCATGCATGGCATGGATTTTAATTTGACAGGCTTGACCACTCAACTTAGACCAAGACCAAAGGAGTAGTAATTTTACAGTGCAATTACAGCCTCACAAGAACATGAGAATAAAAATATTGCTGCCTGAACTCCAGAATTTCAAGTTATTTTTTTCTGCCAAGTGAAGAAATATATTTAAAAGCTAAACTAAACAAACTCAAGTTGCAAACAATATGAAATCAAATACATTTTCAATTATTTTGACTGTCCTTATTCTACTGAAGACACCCAATGACACATTATTCCAAAAAATAATTTTAGGTCCCTGTAAATCTTTAAATGATTACGTATTCGTGTCAGTGCAGTCAGAATTAAGCCCTCTATACTGGAATCACATCAATATGAAACAACAGAATCCAAATCCTTTTAGTTTTGCTTTTTTAACTCCGCAAGACTAACCCATCTGTCCCAATCTAGGAAGAGAGACCAAGTATAGAAAGCAAACCTTAATAAAAACACTCAATATTACACAACAGTTCTAGCTGAATCTTGCATCTGCTGCACAGCTTACACGGCTCTCACCCTCCTAGGCCTAATCCAGATCTAAACAATTAGACTGGAGCACTGAATTCTTGAAAACTATCAATTTATTGTCCTACCATCTTCCTCTTCTCTCCCTTCCCATCAGAGCTACACACTAAATAATAAGGCAACAAGCAGTTACATACAGTTTCATTTATACTAAAATGAGAGACACTTATTTGGGAAGCATCCAGAATATGATTGTTCATACTTACTTGAATTCCTCTTGTTTCTGTTTTTTGTAGTCTTGTCTATATTTTGTGAAGGCATCAAATAAGTGATAAATTATTTCAGCACTAAAAATCCGAACTCCTAAGCTATCAGCCATCTCCTGTGCGTCACGTTCAATCCTCACGTCGAATGCCAGAATGACAGCGTACCTGCAGGGAACAGCGAGCACAACAGTTCACACCAGGAACCCACAGCTACTGCCTGCAGCACCACTGCACACTTATCAACACAGCACAGCAAAGCTACTTACTGTGGGTCATGCTCCAACATGACTGATGCCTTCATAACATCTTTTTTATGGACAGGACCTATATTAATTCCTGAATACTGTTGAAGAAAGCCACAAAAATCAAGTCACTAATCTTTCAGAGTCAAAAGGAAACATTTACTGACTAAACACAGAATCAATGGCATCAGATAAAGCACAGTAGTACTTACTGGCACTTCTGATGTTTTAAGAAATTCAAGTAATGCCTCTAAAGAGCCTAAAGTAGAAGCCTGGACATAAACACCTTTCTCTTCTAATTTGATTGCATTCAGTGTTTGCTTCAGTTCATGTATTAG